TCGTACGAATCGAGAGTCATGTTCTCAAAGAAGGGCTTGAGATGCCGGTCGAAGAAGTCCTGTACGACGCTGAAGTCAAACTCTGCATCAACGAAGATAGCGGCTGTGTATGCTTCGATCACGTCGGCCAAGCACTTTGGTGGTTCACTGATGGTGACCCAATAGTCAACGGCGCCATCCGCTTCTCTCTCTGCTTCTTCGGCTTCCAGGACGTAGTCGCGGATTTGGGAGCTCAGAATAGCAGTGTTCTGCTTGATGTGGACATGCCAGCCGAGCTTTACGCACACGGCGCCTAGAAATTTGTTGGACACCATGGGTGTTTTGTGTTCCGTGAGCCACTGAGGGTCCTTGTCTGGGTACTTGTAGTAGAGGTGCATGATGAACGCCATATCGAGAAGAGAGTCACCTGTGCATTAGGTCAGCGTAATTGCATGCACAAGATCTGCATGAGGACTTACCCAAGAACTCGAGTCGCTGGTAGTTGGGTATATTCTCATACATGTACGGGTATGAGGGGTGGGCGAAGGCTGATCGAAGGAGACGTGGGTACTTGAAGTGATATGGGTGTACCAGCTCAATCTTGCAAGCGGTATTGACCATTGCTGCGGTGGCGTCGGCAACTTGGTACTTGGGCTTTTGATAAGCGTCGTAGTAGTCTGACCACCTCGACATCATATGGTCTTGACTGTTGGCGAAAAGCTTGACAGCTTTGACAGTTTCGTCCCAGTCTTCGGGGTTCCATCGCCCGCCTTGGTAGTGTTGCTGGAAAGCAGCACCAATGAAGGCTTCACAGACGTCTGCGATGCTCTTGTCGCCAAGATTATGCGTGAGCTTCAGCCAGTCGTCTTCAGTCTTCTTCAAACCCTTACCCCTCATGAGCTTCACTCCTTCGGGGTACCATGTGCGCCTACGCAGATTAGATTGTGTATACCAACAAGTAAATATACTGTACATACCTTGAAAAGGCTTCTGTGCGGATGAAGCGGTACAGCTGAATATCGCGTTCATTTCCATCTGCGGAGACCACCAGCTTCTTTCCCACTCCAGTCTCCATCAGGTTCTTGTTGCAGAGCATTTCCATGCGGCGGACGTGGAACTCGAACTCGCTTTCATCGGGCTGCTGGACAAAGACAGAAAGTGAGGTAGCCATCTTCAGGAAGCAATCCCCTAGGAACTCAAGACTGTACCATGTTAGCAGGTGAGATCATGAACGATATCAGTACCTACCGTTCATAGTTCGGACCCATTCCGCTCTTGAAGTTGATCTTTTCTTCGCCGTGCTCCTCGGAGTTATCGGAGTCTTTGGTAAGAGCTTCCAAAGCAAGCGCAGGGCTGACGTTGAGACCGAGAACTTTGCAGGCGTCCAGAGCAATGAGATAACTCTCAAAGCGATGGATGAGAGCCGGTAATACGTAGCACATGACCACAAACCGTATCGCAAGCTGTGCTGTTAGCAATGTTTTCATACGCCCAGGCCGACGGGATTCTTACATTGGAGACGTGAAGAGGCTCTGGACAGATGTAAGTCTTCAAGTCATCGAACTCACCCTTCTCTTTATCCTCGACGCACGCAAGGTGGTTCCGGCGGAAAGGAATCTTTTGCACCTCAAGAACGGGCTGCGAGGCGTGCCACTTTGATATGTCTCTACTCTTTGCCCACCGGCTGTCGCTGTAGTCCAGAATAGTGGCCATGAACTTTTGTCCACTGCGAGGTAGACCTTTAGGAGGCGGATCTTGTGGCTTGAGATGAGTTGCGAGGCAGTTAGAGTAGTAGCGTCGACCTCCATTCATTGGATCTACGAAGTAACGATCTAGCAAATCCTCAGACTTGGTCTCAGGTGTCCACTTCCAAGTGGGCTCTTTGCAGACTTTGCGAATTTGCTCCAGGTCTAGGATTTGATCGAGAGAGGTAACAGATGAAACAGAAGACACCTGGCTCGGAGTTACTGGAACGACCCAATAAGATATCTTCTGGACATCTTCCTCATACACCTTGTTGTAGATGTCCTCGTATATGCGTAGAGTAAAGATCGTGAGGGCTTCTATCATCTCGGGCGATACAGGTAGCGGATTCGAGACGGATTTGGATACGACATTGGAGGGCCTTCCATCCGTGAGGTATATGGGGAAATGCGGCATCTGCGGGAATGGAATGCGAGTGAGGAGACCCATAGGCTGATGAGGTCGGTCTAAGCCAGCGTTGAGGTCGATGACGGTCAGATATAGACGCGTAGGAATGACTCCGCGGTCCACCTTCCAGAAATCTGGCTTGATCAACATAGAGTACATACCCTTCTTCTTTTCGCTAAGAGCTAGCAGTGCATTTCTCCCGGCTGGCAAGCTTTTGCATGTTGTTGGGAGGAGGTTGTCATCCATATAGCCTTTATTGTGAAGCATGAGGCATGCCTTGTAAGCGGCAGAGCATTTTGCGATAGTTTTCTTGCTTTGAACGTCGCCAGTGACCGAGACCACCGGTGCGTGTTCCGGTAACATTACCTCGCAAACGAACCCTCGCCGCTGAGAATCCTGAGCATCATAGTTGACCTCGGGATTGATAACATAGGTTGGCTGGAGCATGGTCTGTCTGTCGGGGCCGGGTAGCGTCGCTACGAAGTGATTGAGGATTGATAAGCTCGAGCGATATGTGAGCTTTGCCCCCGACTTTGTAACGAAGCTTGGATACATCTTGTCTTCAAACGACAACATGTCAACCTCGCCTCCGCCGATCTGACGGTCCTGGGGAAGAGCTTTGCAGAACTTCCTCATGATGCCTTCTTCGAACTTGACGTCGAAAACCCGGCTGCGATGGTCATCGTTGCCCTGCTCAATCATATGGAGATACTTCGAGTTCCTATGCCGTGCTCGGCCCCGAGACTGTACGTACGCTATCATGGTGCGATAGAGGTCGAACCGTACAACAAGGTTGCATTGAGGGATATCAAGGCCTTCTTCCGCCACGGATGTAGCAAATAGACAATTGAGTTCGCCGCGACGAAACTTGGCGACCGTAAGGATCTGGTTTCTTAAAGAGATGTTATGCTCTCCGGCACGATTGTTGACACCGACGAGCACGTTGCATCGGAGGTTCGGTCCACCGATCTGGGAAAAGATGAGTTGAAGCAGCCGAGCTGTTTGCCGCTGCTCAACGAAGACGATACAACGTGCTTCATCGCCGCGTTCGTAGTATAGCTGGAGCCAGTGGTGAAGTTTCAGAACTTTGGAACTCAAATCTTTGTCGCTCAAGGTACACAAACCGAAATCGAACTGTTGTACGAATGTGGCCGCTTCCTTTAAGCGCTTGGCCTGGGCGTCCCACTCCTGCGTGGCGTCATCTTGCTTAGCCTTGTTATGCTTCATTTGCTCTCGATCTTCGAGCTTGCGGCTCTGCTCGTCAGCGAAAGCAAAAGACCAATACATGTCAGACGCCCAACGTCCGAGCTCGGAACCGTAGCGCTTGGAGGCCAAGAACAGTTTCTTGAACGCCGGTATATCCCCATACTTTGCCTTTATCTCTTGGTGCAGAGGCGTCTCAAATTGGTCTTGTAGCTGTGCATACACTGCTATCTCCTCGGTAGGCCTGCTGATACTGTTCGAAGCGAGAGCACCCTCCGAAGTAGTGACGATCTTGGCATGAAGTAGCTTCTCGAGACCATTGGCGACTTCTTTGATATGATCGACCGACAGTCCCTTTGTGTCAATCGGAGAAGCTGTCATGCCAAAGATCCGAGGTCGATGGGAGGGGTCCAGTCCGTGTACGTAGTAGTCCTTCATCAAGCGAGCGTAAGGATGGTTGTTCTTGGCATGATGAGCCTCGTCGAAGATGAGGAGATTGATCTGAGCCATGGTAATGAAGGAGTGCATCATGCACTGGACAAGAACCTCAGCTGTACATACAATTACCATGTTCTTCTCGTAATGGCTCTGCCAAGTCGCTTTAGACCAAAGCGATGCGCCCATGGCGCCGCATATACCCTCCACTGTCTGATCGAGGCCGCAACGCAAAACATTTGCTTGTTGGAAGACCAGGTTGACCGAGTCGACTAGAAAGAAGGCGATCTTGTGGATGCCGCCTGCGGCCCGGTGTTCGAGCTCGTCATTGAGAACATGCTGTAGAAGTAGAGTTGCGATGTGAGTCTTGCCGGAGCCAGTGTCCAAGACCGCTATTACGTTCTCACTCTTGGCCCTCTGAAACAATTCAGTCTGATAGTCGCGAGGGTTCGTGATGCGGACTGTGCCCTCTTGTTTGGCGAGTATGTCGCGGATCGAAAGCTGCTCTTCGTTGGCGGTCTTTGCAGCAGCATCATCAACTTCCTTTTGTGTCAAGTGAGAGCTGATGTTAGCAGCAAAGGCCTTCAGGACGTCGTTCTGCGCTCTGCGCCTCTCCGATGTGGTCTTCGGCCCATGCGTACGTGCGGTGTCAGCATCGCCATCTGGGTCTTCATCTGAGCCCCGCTGGCTCTCATCTTTGGTAGCGGTCTCTGCAATGTCAGAATCGGAAGATGAGGATGACTCGTCGTAGGAGTGGTAGTGTTCGTCCTTCTTGTATATTATCCAACTCATGTTTGTCGTGGCGCAATGCTGTGGGTGCAGTCGAAGCTTATCACAGGTCTGGAGAGGTAAAGCCTATGGTGAGTGTGATTGAAAATCGAGGGCAAGAGCGCGTTGCTGGTATTTGCGCAACTGTCGCGCGTCTTGCTTCGGGCAAGAGAGCAAACAAACAGTGTAGGTACCCGACACCGCATGCTCAGCCGAAGCCGCTCGTGCTGACCCAATCAAACAGCCGCAGCCGTTTGAATATGCCGGAGATATTTCGCAGCATACCAGGCGTTTGTCACTGTGGTGTTACCGCTTTCACAGACGCGGTGTATTGGCGGCGATAGCGGGGTACGCGAACTGGGAAGGGGCAATGCTGACTCATCAGCATCTGCTCACGCTCTCACGTGTGTCCCCACTGCCATTTCCTCAACATCACGACAATTTTCCGCTCAAACGCCACTACCATGACGAACGAGCCGCAGAGTCTACGAGGTCTATTCTCAAAGGCGGAGAGGGCGCGCGAAGAGCTCTCTTCGTCGTACGAAGCAAACAGTCCGACCTACCAGGAAAACCTTAGCGCGACGATCGCCACGTACGAAGAATGCCTGAAAATATCCGAGCAGGTGTCACTTTTCAGTCCGAATGAGACACTGGAAGACATATCGTCGTCTGATCTACAGTACGTGTTATGATACAACCGCAAGATACCGTGCACATGGGTCCTCGCTTACCCTTCTAGATACATGGCGATAAACTACCACTTGGCAGAACTCGTACAGAAGATCTTCAACACCGACGTAGCCTTACGGAAGCAGAACCTACTGCGGGCACGGGGACACTATGAGCGATTTCTCAAGCTCTTAGATTCCTATGATGTGCTTGGCAAGGCAGATGCGAAACTCTTCGAAGTCTACGCGGAAGATAAGAACAACTTCTCTACCGCCAACACGCGGGATGCCGCGGCGAGACGGGACGCAAAGATTTCGCGATTCAGGGAGGAGAAGGAATTGAAGCGGAAACTAGAGGTACGTGTCCACACTAACTTTGCTTTTGAGGGTCGAACCTAGAGCTAAGGCCTGCAACAACAGTATCTGCGACAGAATCCCAAACTTGCCGAGCAGGATGAGCAAGTGGTACGAGAGTTGCATTTGACCAACTTGGCGTTCATGGTGCATCAAACTTTCGCTTCGTTGGAGTCAATGGCTCAAGAACTGCACATCATCTCGCTAGCCCCACCCGCGCCCCCACAAGGACAGGAACAGCAAGCGCCAGACGGCCGACAGGACGGCAGAGATAAAGACGGATACTCCGAACGCCTCGATGGTCAGTATGGCGGCCTGAGATATTCCGGCCCCATCTTGAGCGGCGACGGCAAACCCATGCGGCCTTTTACGCTATTGGATAGCCGTCAGACCCTAAAGAAGAACGTTTTCCGTCCGGATCACAGCCTGCCAACTATGACGATTGACGAATATCTAGAGGAAGAGAAGCGCCGGGGTGGCATGATTGAGGGTGGAGGCCCGCAGTCTGAGATCCAGGCTGAACCGAACGAGGACGATCTTGTCGCCGCGGACGAAGAGACGATGAAGCAGCGAGCGTGGGATGAGTATGTAGAGGCGAACCCCAAAGGCTCGGGTAACACTTTGAACAGAGGTTGAGCGTGGTTTGAGCGGCAGATCAGATACCCAGCAAAACAAATGCACAACCAAGGGAAGACTTTACAACTTCTCGGCTGCTAACTCCGGCCACTTTGCCGTCACCAGTTCGTACAGTTCCTTGTTCAGCACTCCGTATCCCTTGACATTGAGATGCAGCCCGTCCGTAAACCAGCCCGCTGGGAACGTCTTTGCGCCCAATAGGCCGCATCCCGGTGGCACATCCTGATCGTACTCCCATCCTTCTTCTGCAATGACTGCGTCCACCACGTGCTGCCAGTAGTTGAGACCAACGACTCTGCCCGTCTCTTCGTACTCTTTCGCGATCTGCATAAGCCCATCTGCATACCTCTTCTTACTCATGTAAGTCTTGTACCTTGGTCCTTCCTTTCGTGACTCATTGATCTCCTGTATTTCTCTTGCAGACCTGCTTTCGCCAGTATCTACCACAGACCCATTGATGGGTGGGGGCGTGATCAGAACTATCTTTGTGTTCTCCATAGCCTGCTCCGTGAGGATGGTGTCGAGGAACTCCCGTATGTTTGCTGAAAAGGTGGGCCAGGGAACATACTCCTTCTCTCCGATGAAGCAGGCGTCGTTTGCACCGAGGAAGATGGTGAAGAGGAGGGTTGGTGCTGCCTCTGGGGCTGTTGCGCTGCTGATTATGCGGGAAAAGTCTTCTTTAAGACGGGTTGACGTGTAACTGCGTAGTTGGTGAGTGCGCCGACCGTCAATATTAATTGGGATGTGTACCCTGCCTTGCCTGTCGTGCCTGTCAGCATCGGATCTGCGGTTTCGATGTTGTTGTTCCCACTACACGCGTTGCCACATCATGCTGCAATACCTTCATTCACGACCCTTGCCTTCCCTAGGTACTTATTCTCAAGAAACCATCCAATCCCCTGCGTCTTCTCTTTGAAACTCCACTCGGTCATGGATGCGCCAAACAAGACAATCTTAGCCATGTTTGCAGCTCGCCTGATCACTCAGTTTGAAAAGGATAAACGAGAAAGCGTCTACGCGAAATGCGGGGTGAAAGATGGTGGGAGAAACTCATTCGCATTACCTTCGTTGACGATCCGTACCTTGTGCTGATACTGTTGCCTAAGAAACAACCCGAAGCCTTGCGTTTCCTCGCTAAAGCTCCATTGGGTGAGCGAGTCTCCGAAAAGCACAAAGTCTGGCATTTTGTTTGCGACAGATGAAAGCGATGCAGTGGTTGGTCGTTCTTTTCGTTTCCAAAACGCTTTCTTGAACATTTCGTTGAATGTTGGGAGGCTCTGCTCCATCCCAAGTGCTGAGAGTGTTGGCGCGCGCAACCCGATGCGGCACAGTCAGGCGGCGCTAATGCACGTAGCACGTGTAGCTAGCACACCTTGAGGGCTGGCTGGCGTTGGGACGCGTCTTGTTCGCGTCAGTTCATCAATCACGGTCCTGCATATGTTTGATGCACAGAGCTATATCACAGAACTCGAAATCATAAAACTACGACTTCTTACGGGAATTATGGATCTTCGCCACTGCCGAAGCGGTCACGATGACATCACATCTTCGTGCAACGATTGAATCCACAACACTCGTCATGCTTTACGGCATTTCCAACACGACTTTCTGGAGACCACTCAGCTTTACAAATCCATCTAATACACAATTGAACGCGCTGAACCAGTATATCACGCAGCATACGACCATCTACCAAACATGTCGTCTATCAGCCTCCGCCTCCGCGCGCTCCAGCGCCCTGTCGTATCTCAACTCCGCGCCTTCACCACTACACCCAGCTATGCAAAGCTGATGGACACGCCCAATCCTGCCTCCAACCTCCCAGACCCTTCTGAAAACTCCTCGGCCGCACCAAACGCCAAGATGCGTTCGGACACGCAAAACACCGACCAGCAATCGAGTGCGTCGCCTGACGAGCACAAGACCGGCGACGACCATCCGGCGAAGCAGCCAGACCACCAGGCGCAGCCGACTCGAACGACGGGAATCGGGGGCGAGACAAAGGTGCAAGGAGGGAAAGAGGGACTGGGTGAGAGGGGCGATAAGCAGTAGACTGGGAAGAGGAGACAGGATAGGACTTATGGGAAGGACGGAACGGAAAGGTTGATGTTGGACGAAGGGCACCAGGTGAAAGAACGCGATATATGTCTATTCCCGGTTTAGCCAAGCGATATCTGACTTCTCCAATTTAACGTCTCCTCATGTCATAGTTCCAGTACCCGTCGTTCTGGAGTTGTGCGTCACAACACGAGCGAGATGCACCGTCAACAGAAGAACTTGCGTCACGACAGCTCACTCTTTCCACTTCTCAGTGACCGAGGCTCATACTCGCCGACCTGTCCGGCCCTAAGACGTAGTTTGTAGTAATACAGCGGCTAGGTCGCGACTACCGCAGCAGCTCAATAGGTGGATAAAAACATCCAAAAGAGGTACCTGATAACCGATAGTGCCTACAGTAGGTACTGGTGCTCGCCGAGGTGAAGTCGCATCATACACCCGTACTCGGACAATCGCTTAAGTGATGCCCACATTCCATGCATCACTTCAACCCACCAGCGTGCAAAATCACGGCAATATGATCTGATTCCTGATCAACCTACCGGCCTCCATCGTGAAAGCGGACCGTAGTGCAGCAAAAATCGGGATTCCGAGGAGCAATAATGCCCAGCACTAGCAGCCGATTGGTTTGAAAAGCCCTCTCCATCCACACTTCATCCACAATCACGGCCCGTCGCGCAAAACACCGAGTAGAGGTGCAGTGGACGCGTTATTCTAGAACAGAGGCTAACAGTCTCGATCATCTAAACACGGCAACTCCTAAAAACCGATACTGCCTTGCAGGTCCACAGCTGGTGGCCTTAATCGTCCTGTGGCGTTGCGGACATGCGCGGCACGGTCCTTGTCATTGTTTCGCATTCGCGTTATAATTACCACGGGAATATCGGCGTACTTGCGCCCATTGCCATCTGAACTTCGAGACGGAAGGGAATTTTCTGCTCAACCATGGAGCCGCGATAGATAGCTTCAAGAGTAGAAAAGACATCTTGCGCGAAAAGTACGTGTGTGTGGATACGGGTAAAGTGGAAAAGACGGCGGGGCTAAAACTACTACCATCAGTGTAACCATCCCTGCCAGGAGGCCTAGTTTTCATCTCGTGCCGTTTGCAAGTCTGAACGGCGAGGCTGCCAGCAGCCACGGGCTGTGTAGTCGGTCGCCTTACGCAGGTCGCCGGTCGAAAGGCCTAACATCATTTGGCACTCGAGAATTATAAAGACGACGGGAGCGGCTGCATTGTTGGCCATCAACCACATCGCTGGCTTAACATTCGTGAACGACTCGGGTGTTTCTTCAGTATGCGCTTTGTTCCTACTTTCGCTGTTGGCCTTTTGGCCAGCGCCGTCGCTGGACGCGTCGCACCGCGTGCCATGCTTATTGATAGACCAATGTAAGTTGTTCCGCCTGTAAGTTGTCAATGCATACTGACAGTTCCGTAAAGCGTGGCTCATTACATGGTCGGTCAACTCAATCTCGATGAGGTTGTCCAGGACATTGAGGAAGCGAGGGAACTTGGCCTGCACGGCTTCGCGCTCAACTTTGGTGAGTGGCCTTCGTCTATGAAATTCCAGTCCAAGACCGTGCTAACGATGAACAGATCGGTTCGCAGGTTATTCCGAACAGACCGTGAAATACATGTTCGACCACACGGATTACATCGGCAATTTCAGCCTCTTCTTCTCCATGGATCACCATCCTGGATTCTTGAAGAAACCTACGGATTACGCTCAGTACTTCAACGATCACAAGAACCGTCCTTCCTACCTGACAATGAAGGACCCTTCCGATGGCAAGAACAAGCCTGTCCTATCGACGTTTGGTGGCGAGACCATTTCCAACGACGATTGGAAGGAGTTCAAACGACAGGTGGGCAACGTCCTCATCGTCCCTGGCTTCTCTGAGATCTACAACCCTACCACGAACTTCTTCTCTGATCGTAGCGAACTCGGCGGCGTGTTCAACTGGAACTCGTGGCCTTCAACAAATGAAGGCAGAGTCGCTGTATCTGACGCGACAGATCGTATATTCAATACCGCCGCCAACAATGCCAAGAAGCTGTTCATGATGGGTATCTCACCCGTACAGTTCAAGCACCTCGATGGGGATAACAACTGGTACCGTCGCGGCGAGGACAACCTCGAGAACAGGTTCGGTCAGATCCTCAGTGTCCAGCCCGACATGGTGCAGCTCCAGAGCTGGAACGACGCAGGCGAGGGCCATTACATGGGACACCTTCACCCGACTCCGCTACAAGGCCCTACACCAGCCATTGTAGAAGGGTACGACCATACCGGTTACTGGCAGATTTTGAAACCGTTCATCGCTGCGTGGAAGAACGGCGATCGCACAACAGCTAACATGTATCCCACAAATGGCAAACCTGTCCAAGGCACTTTCTGGCATCATACTCTCACCGTCGCGGGCAAATGCGATGCCGACGGCCTAAAGAAGTCTGGAGATATCACAAAGGCAGCTGAAGACGCCGTGTCTGGCGTCTTACTCGTCGCCAGAGGCAAGACCAATCTCATCGCTGTTGTCAACGTTGGCGGAAAGAAGCTGGACCAAACGCAGCCACTCAAGCCAGGGTTCAACAAGTTCAAGTTCACAGGCCTAGAGAAGTTGGTCCCGGGTAAGGTGCAGTTGGAGGTTTGGGATGGAAGCACCATGGTGGGAGGCGGATATGGAAGTATTGAGGTGACGAGCTCGAAACCGACTTGCAACTACCAGTTCCAGGTCGTTGCGGTGCCTTCATAGGTATTTCTTAAGTAGAAGGGTAGGCTCTATGCCGGCGTAGCAGGCAAGTAGATGGTAGGGAACACTTTCAGATAGTCAATGCATAAGTGTTCGATGGAAAGTTTCCGAATCGTACCTGCAGCGTGCTTACTGTGCCTCACATTGAAACAAATGAGCTCATCTAGCGTTTCTCCATGCTGCATGTGCCTGCGTTCACTCTTAGCCGGTTAAGCGACGCCGTACAAAACGGTGTTGCAGATGTGTGATTGATGCATGTCTGAATACATGGTGCTATATTGAAGCACTATGAATGAGACTATGTGAGGCGCAGTACTGTAGTCTTGAGTCGAGATCCCATGTCGTCTAGGTCAACAGTTCGGAAGAATTAGAGTGATCAATGTGCATAATGCGATTTTCGACTAGGTTTGCAGGTATGTCGTCTCGGTGCACAAGCTCATGTTATGATCGACCAGCGCAAGGGTTTGGCCAAGCTGTTGGGTCTGCGTAGCCCCTCTGGCGGCCTGCGGCCACGGGGGCGATCACGTTTGCGAACCCTGATTGCGCGGTATTACTATGAAGCCGATCGGAAGCAGAGCCGAGGGCGCTGGATTCGCTGATCTTGATAGAGAAGGTGCAATGGAAAATGTAATGAGACGGCGGGATGGGGCGGATGAGCTACCATGAGTCCATTGGCAGAAGCACGGCGGGATCCTTGCGATAAGAGGGAGTTACGGGGCAAGGCTGCACATCGTGGTATGGGTACGAGGCTACCGTGTTGTCGGTATCGGTAATTGGCGATAGCCTGGATAGAGGTCAGAAGCTTCGGCGCATCCCGCGTAGCTCCACGGCACGACTCGTCCAAAGTCTATTCTGTTGTGCTTCCAGTGGAGAGCGATCGACCTCAACTACTCCCAAACAGCGAAGAAACTAATCGGTTAGCGATTGGGTTGGAATGAGTGAAGTATGCTGCAGTTGGACATGTGAAAGACGGAGGTAGAGTGCATGCAGGGCTGCCACATGTGGCATAGCTCTTGATCCGAGCCCTGATGCGCCGTGCCGGAATATTTCTGATATAGAGGTATGACCGGAGCGGACGATAAGCTATGACTGACACATGTAATCATTGGGTGATTTTATGTGATGAGTACAGACTCGAGTTGGAAGGGTTTCTCTCTGACACGCCTGATTGGAGGTGCGGCGAGCGGCTGCCGTGATGGAAAGGCTGCTCGAGTCCACTTGGGCTGCGCAGAACTGGGTAGAGTCATCCGCGAGAAAACAGGGCCGCCCAGGGTGTTCCGAAGTGACGGATATGGGCAGGAGGCCGTGATAGGATGGCAGAAATACGTTGGCGATGTTTGATCGTGTTTGAGTATACATCACGCGATGCCTCCCAAGAGCGACTAGGATAGTAATCGTGTCTGGTAATTGTGTGACTGGGCGTTGATTGACGATTGATAGTTACACACGGAAATGGTGAGAGTGGGCCGAAGGCAAATGGGATGGCTTCAGGGGTGGTGGGCACAAGCAAGCATGGTGGCTTCGAGGGCCGTTTGTGGTGGCTTGCAGGGTCGCGACGCACGGGCACCTCTCGCATGCCTCCAGGGCTCTAGCCGCGACTGGGCGCTGCACCTCGGGTTAGCATCATCAACCCCAACAGGCCCTGCGCGCTCTTGGGACGCCGGCAGTGAGACGTGAGATTTGTTTTGGCGCATCTCTGGGGTTGGTCGATAGCGCCGCGCATCACTGAGGCATGCTCCCGCAAAAGCACCTCCGAGCAATTGCGAGCAGGCGGAGCCATTGAACCCTCTGCTGCGGCTCGCTGGTCCCTCATCCTCACCCCACGCACTCGCGCTGTCAAAAAGCTTTGGCTCCCCAGACCGGACCTGCATGCCCAGTGACATGCCTACTGCTTGCTGGACCCTCGTGCATCTATCCGAGACGTTGCCTCCGTACCCGTAAACACTCATATACGTGCACTTCGCCTGCCGTAGCGCATCTGTACCACGGCAAGTGGAGATACAAGACACCATGTCTGGGTAAGCTGCGATACCTGCTGTCTTAGTAGCCTTAGTAATACTTCAGACGAAATCGCTGACATGTCCAGTTCCATGCGCGAATCGCTGAAGGCTTTGAACACAACCTTCTCGGCCACTACCGTCCCCTACCCTCTCCCCGACGAGCTCTATGCGACCATAGAAGCCTTCCTCGAGCGCTATGACGACATTGACGACCACGACTCCCAGCGCTTTCACGATGATCTCCACGCGCTATACCTCCGCCACGTCGCCAGTAGTCCCGAAAAGCGCGGCGCCTTCTTATCAGCTCTGCGACTGCTTCGGCCCGCGATAACGGGCGAGGCGCGCTTGACCGCCTGGTGGAACTCGGCCCTGAGGCCTGTCATCGACGGCATAGGCTACAAGAAGAGCGAGATTGAAGATGCGAGGGCCTTTATCCAGAGCATACTGGTGTACGACAATGAGGTCGACAAAGATGGCGAGCATGCGCGCTTGTCCGCCCTCTTCACCAAGAAGATTCTCGACGCATACTTGGCGCGGACCAACGTGCCTGCTTCGCCTGAAGATGCCGTGAGGCCAGAAAACGAGTTTGTGGCCCATGAGCTCGAGGCCGTCCTGGTCGATTTTGGGCGCAAGATGCCCAAGGTGAGTACCTTCCCTCAGTATCATGGCCTTCACTAATACATCCAGGTCCTCCTCCTTACACTCGACAACCTCCTCCTACAGAAGCAGCATCGCATACAGGCCCTGAACCTGCTCAGTGCCTTTGTCCGCCTCCAGCCGCCGCACCTCCACCTCGTCCTCGAGACCCCGCTCATCCAGAACCTTGAGAAATGCCTGCTCATAGACAACTCGTCCACTGTCATCGAGCTCGCCCTCGTCGTCCTAATCATGTTCCTGCCTCACATTTGCGGAGCGCTGACCTCTGATCACCACCTCGAGAAAATGTTCCTGGTCTACTGTCGGATACTGTGTTGGGACAAGTTGGGCAACAACGACGAGAAAGGCGGTGATATGGACATGCAAGACGACGATAGTGAAGAGGGGGATGACGAAACCGATGCCGACTCCGAACAGGCCTGGGAGCAGGTGCAGCCATCCATGGACTACCCTGATTGCCCGCCGCCAACTCTTATGCACTATTTCACCTTCCTATACGGTCTCTTTCCCCTCAACTTCATGAGCTTTGTGCGCAAGCCAAGGAAGTACCTCAAGTCGCTTAACTTTCCAGGCGCGCGCGACTTCGACCTGGACCAAGATCTCATCCACAGCCGGACGGAACCCTACCGTCGCGTTCATCTACTACACCCGAACATGTTCACGACCACAGTCGAAGACGAGCTGAGCGAAAACAGGTGGGTGAAAAGCGACCCCGCAGACGTCGTCATTGAATGCATGGACCTTTGCGTTGCCGTGTCGTCGACTTTGGAGGACCCCGGCCCACCACCCAACGCAGCCTTACCCCCTGTCCCAGAGATACCCTCGCAATTCACTCTGGACGATCAGGACGGCACAACAGTACACGAATCAGATGCAAGCTGGAGGAATACCCAGTCGACTATGAACGTTTCGTCAAGCGATGCTCCAGATGTTCCCGATCTGGAACTCCCACCAAAGAGCAAGTCTATCAAGTCTGCGGTATCTATCAAGTCCATGGCCTCACCGTTGCTGAAAGGTCGCGACATGATGGATTCTCCAACACTGCCGCCCACTAAAGATACAAAGAAGCCGGATATGTCTGGTCATTCCGCACAGCGGTTCGTGGCACATCAACCCAGCCTGGACAGTTTTGCCCAATCAATATCCGGCAATCAATCTACCCACCATGACTTTCAAAACCACACCATGGCGTCTTTGCAAAGAGAGATCATGCTACTTCGGAATGACCTCAACTTTGAGCGGTATCTCAAATTGCAGCATCTTGCTCACATCGGACAGCTACAGCGGAAGCACATCAAAGAAGCGACTGTAGAGGCGGAGACTCAAAATCTGATCAACACCAACAAGACACTAAAGGCCAAACTCGCCAAGGCAAACGAGCTGTACGCCCAACTCAAGAAGGAAACGCTCACGAGCCGAAGCCAGTCCAAGAAATGGGAAAGCGAGTTGAACAACAAGGTGCGGTCGTACAAAGAGAGTGAAAAGACCTGGCACAGTGACGAGGGCGGTCTGCGATATGAGCTTCAGAGGACACAATCAGACTATGAGCAGCTCAAGAAGATTGTGGAGAGAGCTGAGGCAGAGCGACTAAAAGCCCAACAACGGACCAAAGCGTTGGAATACGAGCTTGAAGACTACGCGGACATCAAGCGGGAGCTTGAGGGTGCGCAAGATAAGATCATAGCATTCGAAGACCAGAGGAAGGAGCTACACACCCTCATCCAGGAGCGGAACGACTTGCGCAACGATCTCGAAATCGCAAACATGCGGTTGAACAGCCGTGAGCAAGAACGCGAGCGGTCGATCAAGGCTTACGAGCGCCGGCTTATGGAGCTTGAGTCCCGACTACAATCTTCCGACAGAAGCACTGGCAAGCCAGGGCAACTGCCGTCTTCTGTGCAGCAGATGCTCGACTCTGCGCTTGCAGCGAGCAATGCCAAAATGCAGCAACTCAAGAAGACTCATTACCGCCTCCTTGAGCAATATACCGAGCTGCAGATGAAGTACCATGAGCTCGAAGGGGAGCGAGAGGCTGAGATGGGACAGCTCTACCCCCGGGACAAGTCTGGTCATATCGATTTCGGCACTTCACGGGTCAGTCGCAACTCCAGCATCCGACAGGCGACCAACTACAGCTCGAGATATTTGACACCTCTATCTACTACAGAGGCCACCTCAAGCGAGGAGCAAGAGCATTACGAATACCGATCGCCGGACTCCGTCCACAGCCCAGGATCAGCCGCGTCACCACCTCGTCCTGCTCGGCTTGAATCACTACAGCAGGGGAAGCCGCAACGATCTCAAACAGCGCCATCGCCGTACCCTGGGTTTGGTGGCGGATACGGACCAAACTTTTCCGCAGCATATGATGCGTCTCTCCACAATCAGTTTCAGGCTCCAAAGCCTCAATCTAGCGGGCAGAGTAGCTTCTCCGCCGACACCGATGGAAGCTCAAGTAAGGAGAGAAAAGACAAAGTAGACCCGAAATCGGAGGTCCGGATATACGGTCGGGGTAAGTTATCGGTATTACGTCCTGCAACATCAGAGGCTGACTATGAAACAGGCGGCGCTCAGAACATCGGAAAGAAGGTCAAAGAGAAGGAACAGAAGAAGCCTTCGTCTTCCAAAACTGGTGGCTTCCGCGGCCTCAAGGGCATAATGTGATCGGATTGGGTCACTTACTTGTTTTGCATGTGGTGGTGCCGATCGAAGGCGCCACCATCTCATCAGACGGAATTTTGCGCGACGCGCCTCTGTCACACTCGGTTATCTGCGTCCTTCTCTATCTCGTCTCGCTTCGGCACGACCACAACGGCCACTTCGTCATCACAGTCGCGACTCAACACATTTTTGTCCACTCCTCTTTCTTTTGTTCATCAGTTTCGCATCTATGTATAACGACACTGCATGACGCATAGGCCGTCTCAACGCCTACGACTGGTTGCATAGCCGCATAGTCCTCAGATACCTGCCTCCAATGGCATCCTCGCATCGACTTACTCGTCGACTGTAGCATAGTCCCAAGACTAATTGTGTAATACATTGATACCAATCAAACCCATTAATCCCTCCATGCGTACACTTATGCATCAGCATCATACCGTCCTTCCAAAACGCAAGCATGTATCGAAGGCGTCCACAGCAAGAGCGCCCTCCTGCCAAGACACTAACACGATCTCATTCGCGGAGAGTAGCCGAGACCTGACAACCACCTGGACAGCACCTGCCATTCAGATCCCCACGACACCACCAACATGCCGAAGATCGAATCGTGATGATCAGCATCCACAGCCTCAGACCTAGGGACGCATCAGGCCCGCAACTACTGCAACCGCCATCGCAAACAGTAAAGTTTTGATGGGCCCCGAGTACTTGCTTTTTCCTCTTCTGTCCACACACTTGCAACAGTCAGCCCCCTTAAAGCTAGCGCCGTTGGCACTATTCGGAAAATAGCTCACAGGAGATGTCATCCCGCACTAACACGTACGACTAAGACAACGGCCGCCTTGCTGTCGCCCCTTCCTTCATCCCCACGTTCGCGGCGGCCGGGAGCGCGAGCGTACATAAAACGGGTTGAGCGTGTTTGGTACTGAACTGGGTGCCGTAACGTGGGGATCCTTGTTCGACATGCACTACTCGGTAGATGACCAACTACGACTGATCGCATAAGGCATCCATACGGCAGATACGCAGCACAAGCCAAGACCTATCGCGACCCCGTCGGGCTGTCCATAAGCAAATGCTTTCTCGACTCACGCGTCCTTATCGTGCAAAGGGCTGACTCGTGTTGCTGAGTCAAGGTCGGTTGTCGCTACGAATAGTGCCGATGGTTCAACAAGTGATCACCGTATCGCGGAGACGGGTGCTGCCACACTGCAGGCGCTGAAGAGTGGAGATGGTGTACGTTCGAAGGTGCGCTAAGTTGTGCCGCGCAAAAGGAAAGAGACAGAGTGAGGAGCGGGTGGGTACCCGAGCTTGCGATCTAAAGGGGGCTTGGGTGATTGGCTGGGTTGGGGAACCGGTCGTTGAGGAGGGGGATGGATCCGTGGACGAAGTCGCCTGGGCTTCGCGCTCGACCCTTGGAGACTTCTCGTGCGAAACTTTGGGTATGTACATTGGTGGGTTGGTAAGTCGATAACGGTAGCTTACAAGGGCTCTTTGCGTGAACTAGTCGTCTCTATGCTTAAGCCCGGTAGCGACAAATGACTCCGCAATGAATGCGTGATCTATGGACGATGTGTGTAGCAGGAAAGCGGATGTATGACATGTAGTCATGCTAAAGCGATCCTGAGCTGAAAGCGTATATCATCTATTGGGGATGGCATTGGCTTTCCAAAATCACAATGTCGTTGGCAAACGTGCTCTTATCCTGTACTGCACATTGCAAAAACACATTTTAGTTTGCAAAAAGTGCAACCAGACTCACTCAGTCGGATACCGTCTTCCTCACACCAATACTTATTCCGTTGTCATCTTTTTGCCAATCCACAACATCTCAGCTAATTCGAGACCCATAAGCTTCACGTCATCTACGCACGCCTGGTAGCAATGGCACAGATCCCATAACACTGGATATGCTTTGATGCGCCCGTGTATGTCGACTTTCGAGTGGCGCCTACCCAAACTTTGGATCGAAGGGGAGCTTAAGTGAATGACTGGGTTGGAGAACCCGTCTTAAAGGGAAACGATGAACAATCTCGTGTAAGACATGTGTAGCAGGCAAGTAAATGTATAATACGGGGATATCATGGGGCGAAGCTAGTATGTAGGCGAGTATCATATATTAGAAACTAACTTCGTCGTCCAAGGGCGGATAGTCGTTGTCGAAGTGCTGCATTGCAATACTATACATCGAACAAAACTCTACGGAAGTCGCAGCTTCAACATTTAACCAACTACCGCTGCTCTTCCTTTGATCTGGATACCATATGATTCCTTTATCAATATCTGCTCCATGTGCCTAACTGCCTTGGTGTACAGTCGCACTCTTACTTTATCTCTTGTGACGTCAATAGCCTTCTCGTACTCAAGTTTGTAAAGTTTACGGTACATATTGTCCAAATCCTGCAATATCTCAATTCTCCGAGGGGGATTGGGCACTCCAGGTATCTTATATGCCTCCCAGAACCTACTCAGAGATTTTTGCAGTGGGCGGTAGCTCGTAGGCTTGGTTTTCTGTTTGTCTCCGAACATATTCCGTTTTGTGTTGCGGTTTCGCTGGACGCGTTCGCCTTGCTGCTCTGCTGCTGCTTCGCGCTCTTGTACGAGGTCTGTTTCTTGACTGGTGTGCAGGTGCTCTGGTTCGGTATTATTCCTCCCCTCCTGTGCAGTTTGCGCCTGCCAAACCTTTTTCTCTTCCTTCAGAGCAATGTACTTGAGCTTGTAGTGCTCAGTTTTCTTCTCTTGATCGAACAGCATGGCCTTCCAATCTTCACTCTCCTCCTCTTCTTTGACACTCTTCGCGGCCGACTGAGCTAGGCGCTGTTGCTCGATGTACTTTTCCCTCCATGTCTCGCGTTCCACCTGTGCCAGGCGTCGCTTCGTCTTTTCCCGCATGAGCCTCTCTTTTGCATCGCCCGTCTTCGCTTGCTGCTGCTCAAGCTGAGCTGTGAGTTCTCGTATCTCTCGTTCGTATTTGGCGTGGATCTCGGTTTCATAGTCGCTGATTTGTTGCTATGATGGTGCGTCAGTGACTACCATCTTCGGATAACCTTTAGGAGAAGACCATGACTTACGAACAAGTGTGTTCGTTTATTTGAGGCTGTTTTGTGAGGTCAGTCGAAGTTTGAGATAAGCGCATATGCTATACTCACCACATGGTAGATCACCAGTCCGATCGTCGCTGAGGTCTACGAACTGACGCTTGCCCAGAATGGGCGAGGCGGTACTCTTGCTGCGGTGTGCAAGCTGAAGGGTTGGCTCCGCGAACGCAATGGGTTCATGAGAATGTAGCCTTCCATTGGCCGGTGAAGCAGAGACTGTACTCTCCGAGGTCTGCTCGTATGAAGCATTTCCCGTATGAGGCTCGTCATGTCGCACCAAGTTTGTACAAGCGAGTTTGAAGTGGCCAAGTATGTGCGGGTTCACAAGATCGAAGACCTGCTCTAGTCGTCCACTCAGCAAGAAGATAAAGTTGATAGCGGAGTCTACGACCGCACGCTCAAGCTTGCGTTCCGGATTCATCCCAGGCCTCTGACTGCTGTAATCGTGCGAGCCACCGATATAGCTGAAGGGCGGATCATAATAGACCTTTGACGAATGTATGTCCTGCACCAATGGAGTGACTTGCTTTCCTGGCCCAGAATAGTAACAGATCTTTTCGCCCGTAGCGCATGCCCATACTGGCGGGCCGCCGGCTTTGCGTGAATAGTGACCAACTAGGAGCATGTGGCGTCGATGTGTGTTGTGCTTATCGTCCAGATACAGCTTCTCGGAGAATTGGTAGAGTGCCATGTCAGATATGGCGGTGGAGTGGGTCGCAAGTCTGCCTGTCGCGTACTTGGTGAAGTCACCGAGTATGTACTTTTTCTTCGGTATCATCTTTGCTGATGAGCTGTATTGCATAGCGCGTGCGGATATGGCGGTAGAGGAGCGGTACCGATATTCGATTGGTGTGTAATCGCAGGCGCGTTAGATTAGTACACTCAAGTACCCGGCGGTATTGGCCTGACGAAGCTACGAAGAGAACAACCACATGTTCAGGATCCCAGCGCGTGCAACGAAGTGGTAGCAGATTCGACACATGGTGAGAGACAAGAGATAAGCGTGGTCAGGATTGATACTGTCATTGATCATAAGTTGGAATTATATACAGGTCGCGATGTACCCGTCTTCGCCCTAAATCAGGCATCAGCATCTTCAAGTAATAAACCGATACAGCCTCACTCACCCCCAACACGTGTGCTGACTTACGCCTTATACACGACCTTGCTAACCTTGTACTCCACCACAACACCAGGCTTTCCCTCGCCTGTGACGAAATGGCCGGCAGCGACATACGTCCCATTCTGCAGGTCTTTGTACTTCTCGTTGCCAGTCTCGAAAGTGAAGTTGACAAACGAGTCGCCGTAGTCCGTGGTCTTAGCATCCGAGGCACCAGAGAGCACCTTGCCGACACCAGGCGTGAGCTTCACGGTGCCCTTATAGTACATTGCTAGAATCGTTCCGTCATGATTCCTGTATACCATGAGCATTAGATGTTCCCTCGAAGCTTTATGAGTGTCTTTGCACTCACTTGACCTGACTCCTGACGTCCAAGCGCATGTTTCCGCCATCGGCGTCGTTGTGAATGTAGTCGTAGCCGGTACCGTGCAGCTCTCCATCCAGCTTTGGCTCGAAGCCCGGTTCACTCTTCACTGTACCCGATACCATCGGGACGATAACCAACTGCGCGCCATGCTGGCCTCCGACTTGCATCGGCGCATCGATGTCGACGCGGACGGTGAACGCGGGCTGAAGAGATGGGAAGCCTGCCATGTTTTTGATGTTGCAGAAGGATTTTGGTAATGGTTTTGTGGAATTGATTGCTTGTATTGGATGCGATCCTTGGTATGTACGATGGGTTTGGGGTGGAGCTAAGCTATGTAGTTGCATGCGGAAGCTACCCCTCTGACCCCACTTTGAGGGGAGGAGCTTCCTTCTTTCCGCACCGGTGACGGCATCAAATGAGAGGCATCCGCTCTGTGCACATGTAGCATTTGTATTCCGGGGTCACATGTACGGAACGATGCGCCAACCCGAAACTCAAAATCCACTGATCCTCCCCTTCTTTTTCTTCTTCTTGTCTAGCTTTCCTCCAAACTTGCCCCGCTCTACTTGACTTTTTGGCATCATGAAGCCACCAGTCTGGAATGGTATCTGGCTTTGACTTTGGCTCTGACTCGGTACCTGACTGCTACTACCCATACCACCCAGCATTGGCCCTGGAGAGCTTCTCGGATATGCGTTAAGTTGACTCGCAGTTTTAGCCCTCATGAGCTCGTTCTCGCGTTGTTGGCGCTTTTCCCTACGTTCCTTCTTTTTGCGTTCCTTCTCGCGTTGTTGCTGGCTCTCCTCATCTAGTTCTTCCGCCCGAAGAGTACGCTCCATACTGACCCAATTGTACACACGCGGATCCTTTCCTAATTCCCAATGCGCGAGACTCTGGGAAACGTTTGGCGGAATGATAACCGGGTCTTTGGAAGTTTGAAGATACTTGCTAAGCCGACTGAGGGGGTCTGACGAAGCTGGCTCCATGGAAGGTATCTCGGGTGGGGACGATCCATACACAGAGGATGGAGGCAAAGACGAAGGTGGTATAGATGAGTATGGCGGTGTCGGTAACGGCTGAGAGGCAGAATATCTTGAAGTGAAGTTGGAGGTAGCCTCCTTTGGTCTTGCAGGCAGGATTGGTAAGGCTACGGCACTGTCCTGACTCTGCCCACGCTGTATGCTAACAGCGGGCACTTGGATCCGATCGTCACGTATACATGTGCTTGAGAACATCAACTCCGTAGCGATTCGCCGAGCCAAAAGTTCTTGGCGTTGCCGAACGCGAATTGGCATATCGGGTGGCATAGGCGCAACCCACGTCTGGAGTATACTATCGTATGCGTCGGAAATGGTGAGATCGCCATCGTCGGTCAAGCCAAGTACGCGCATAGCTGCGATAAGCTGAACATCCACAGTATCTTGACCATTTGGCGAAGAGAACAGCTCTTGAAAGTTGGACGAAGCTTCGTCAATGTCTGCAACATGGAACTGTGCGTGCGTAAACTCCATCCTGCAATTGTTAGTTCAGAATGCAAACAAGACCCAGTTCACTTACAGAGTACCCAATGGTAAAGGTGGCAAGTCTGCACCAGTCGCCAGCATTTCGTTCACCTGATCCATGACGGCCACCGCATCGATGGTACCCGAGACCTGCTCCGCCGCGCTCTTTGACTGCGATAGAATCTCGCCCAGAGAAGCATTGTCCCGAGTTTCCGGCACGGCAGCACCGTCCGAGGATCTGCGCAATTCTGGCTGCTGCCTGCCTACTTTGGAGCTTGGTAATCCTCTGTCGACCAATCCATTAGGCACTATGAAATCGTCGTCTTTGTTGCGTGGTTTCGAGTTAAAGATGAGGTTTCTAGGGCGTCTGATCGTGCTCCGCGTGAAGTCTACAACGGCATAGTCATTCTCGGTGATATGTCCTGTCGAGGTGCTCCGACTCCAGACAACCAGCTCGCGCGTACTTAAGTCGGAGAGCGTGACAAATAGTTGGAGGAAGAGGACATCTTTCTGTGAGTATTCCCATTGCATGGGCTCGATGTACAAGTTGGTTATGTGCACGGATCCACCGATGGGTAGGTCTAGCAGGGTCGGATCTGAACTGGTAACGAGGCCGGAAGAATCGGAGGTATTGCTGCGGAAGCTTTGTATTTGGACCAAGTTGTTAACTCGAGAGTGGAGCACAACACATGTTTCTGTCAGGCTGTCAGTGTGATTTCTGTCGCGCGATTGATCTGCAACTTACCATCGTCCGACAGCGTCTGCACGCCTATGTGAAGTGTGAAATCCTCCACGCCCCGGTAGTGCCGCCAAGATGTGAGGACTTTAGCTCCAGCTTCACCAGCCCTCGGAAGCAGCTCACTTGGTGCAGTGACCGAAAGGAGGAATAAACGAGTAGAGGTCAAGACGAAAACCCGACTTCTATCTCTTGGGTGTTGCTTGACATCCAAGACCCAGTCTGCCGATCGCTCACTGAAAAGCTCTGGGCAGGGAAAGTATGACGTTGTCCTGCCCTTGATGCTGACGATGCTCAAATGGCGCCTGTTGCATACCAGCAACGTCGTTGTATCAGCCACCCAGAGAACCCTCGCCCAACCGTCTTCGCAAGTTGTGTCCCCGTCCTCTTCCAGTTCATCGATCTTTCCACGAAGCAGGCATGAAGCCGAGTACGTGCCAAGTATGGGCCGATGCTCGATGTCCCATACACTCCATGACTGATTCAGGTCGACGAGTGCAAACTGCAACTGGAAGTCTGGATTGAATGTGAAGTCGGCATGAGCAAAGCCACCAGTATCGTTTTGACTTATGCTGAGTATAGGGTGGAGTTCGATCGAGGAGGCGGGTAAGCGGTAGAACGGTGAGACAGCGGAAGCGCGTGGTCGGCGGTGGTAGTCTGGGTGGAAGAGGACAGTACGCGTAGGCAGTCGCACAGCCAGAAAAGGTCTGCTGTCATCCGAATGCGAAAAGGAAACTTGCTGGATCGGTGCCGCTTCCTCATTCCAGAAGCCACTCTCGGTATCTTTCAAGGTCCGCCCTTCTACCCATGACTTCGGGTCTGCTGTCCAACCGTGTCTTTCGTTGTCTAGAATTGACAACTGCAGTATGCTGCCAGATTCTCCCGTTGGCAATGCAGCTATTTGCCATGCCTCGTGTCTACCCTTGGGTGTAATCGAACCGAAGGAGAGTAGGTCGCCGACGAGCGGATCGTAGATCGAAGCCGTGGATGATATGGCAGCAGATACTACAGCTAGATCGGAGAGGACTTCGCCTGCTGCAGAGAGCTGAGGGTGTTCTTCGATGCTGTTGCTGATCTCTTTCTGTACGCTGGTCCTACTCGCTAAGATTTCTGCAGAGAGAGAGAATGCCGGTGTCGCATGATTGCTCGCAGGAGTCGCGTCCTTCGAAGTTCGTATGCGCTTGAACGAGCGTGTGGTGTAGGGCCTAGTAAACGTCCATTCTCTGTTCTCCAAGTCGTAGGTCGCTGCACCAGGATGGCCGTAGTTCAGATCTTTGAGCGATCTGTCAGCCATTGGGCTGTCGTAGAGGTTCTCGATCCGTAACGTCGCTGGAGTATAAACTCATTCTTTGTACGCAGAAAACAAAAGGTCGTATGCGAGAGCGAAGATTCTGTCTGTGAAGGTTGAGTATGCGCCGGACGCGATGATGAAAGTGACCTCGCCAAAAAGTTCCACTAGCGCCAAAAGTCGCGTCGGCACGTGCATGCGCCCCACTATCGTTCCTGCCGCACTAGCGCGCATGTTTGTTTACGGAGCAACCATCTCATCCGCCCTCATCACCCATTGTCGCATCGCACCCCACCACATATTCGCATATTCTACAAGACACGTCTAAACCAGGCCGCAATCATGACGACCTTTGAGCCCTCCATGAGCACCACGATGCGCGCCTCCTCACACGATGCGCCGTCCATGGCCGACCAACTACCTAGCATCAACTTCGGATTCGATGATCTGCGCAGTCGCATGAACCAGTTTACGACACGATTCGACGCTTTTATCGAGAATGGACGTAGACGAGTACTGGAAGAGCGAAATCAGTTCCGCATGAATGTCGCAGAACTCCATGGTATGACAAGCCCTCATTCATGTGTTTGCCAATCGACTGCGTACTAATTATCGTGACAGAGGACCAACGCATGAAGAAGCGCGATATCGAAATTCTCGAACTAAAGACAGCCCAGCACAGCCAAACAATCTCCAAAGAGTCTCAAGAAACCTCCGAGATGCAGGAAGCCATCTCGGCCCTTACCCTTCAGCGCGACGAGCGCCTAGCCCACCGCGACAGCCTGCGCGCCCAAATCGCCGAAGTGCAAAAGACCATCTCCGCACGCCGCGAAGCACAACTCAAACACCGCCGCTACCTCGATGGGCAAAGTCGGTACAACGAGCCAGAACTCGACTTCTGGGAGAACTATTTGGGGCTGAGGATTGAGGGACTGGGCAAAGACGACAGGTTGAAGTTCGTCTATACCAACGTCGATGAGAGGGAATGGGACCGTGAAGCGTGGTTTGAACTGGATACCAGCGAGCGCGACTACAGAGTGCTAGAGATGCGACCGAAGGTCGAGCGCGAAGAGGTCGAGACTGTCGTGGACAGGCTGAACGAGACGCGCGACTTGGCGGGCTTCCTGAAGGGCATGCGAGAGCTGTTCGTCGACGCATGCAAGTAGTTGCGGGCAAGCAGCAGTCCTGTCGTGATGTCCTTATGTAATTATGCCTTTAGTTTTGATAGATACCCGCAAGCTACTTTTCTTCTCTTCTCATCGACCGCCATTCTTGATTTTGTAGAACTCCGGTGCATACTCCGTCAACCAGTCCATCTCCACTGTACTCATATCCCTAATGTAGATCTTGTCTCTTGTAGACTGAATCTCAGTGTATATGACCCAATCTGCCTTCCTTGTGAAGAACACAGACGTCGGATGAGGCCACAAGGTTGTCTTTCCATCAACGGTCGTGAAGGTTCCATCTGCCTTCATCCTCGCGGCATGTGCAAAGAACCCAGTCGTCAAGCAGCGACGCACGCGCTCGGCGAGTGGTATACCGCCAACCCTCAGCACGCCTGATGAAGCGAGGACATTCTCTTTGACACCAAAACGATCCAAGTAAGCAGCAAGTTGTTTCCGGACGCTGACTGCCTTGACGAGCGACTTGTGGTTTAGACTGTTTGAATGACACCACGTCGTGTTGCCCATTCCAGCTTTCACGAAAGCTTCGTATACATTGTATAGTGTAAGGTGATCACCCTCTGCTACTGCAAATTTCCGTCGCGCAGCATCAAGCTGCTTCTTTCCGCCATCATGGGATACGAAAGCATTGCCTTGCAGAGTCATCATTGCGGCTATTGTGAGCATTTCGCTCAAGCAGCCAAACTCCGGTTCGGCGGCCTTCAATAATGCGCGAGCAAGCATCGGTTCGAGCGGAAGCTCCGCCATACGCGTGCCGAGGGGCTTCGTGAGGCGAGCATGAGCGTCCAACGCACCGAGAGAGTAGAGCAAATCCAGAGCGCGCGTTACTAGTGCTGATGGTGGAGGCGAGAGGTAATCGAACCGCACCACATTCGTGATTCCCAGGTTGAGAAGCTGCAGGATCACAGGTGCGAGATTCGAGCGGGCAAGTTCTGGGAACGTGGCTTCCTCCAAGCTTTCGTAAACGCTTTCAGGATACAGTCTAAAGCATTTGCCCGGCCTCGTCCGTCCAGCACGACCCGCTCTTTGTGTGGCACTAGCTTTCGACACAGGAACGACCGCGAGATTTTCAATGCCTAGACTGGCGTTGTAGGCGCGAAGCTTGACATATCCTGAGTCCACCACAAAGACAATGCCGTCAATAGTCAAAGATGCCTCTGAGATGTTGGTGCTGAAAATGACGCGTCGCGTGTCTTGTGGCGGCTTGGTGAAGATGAGATTTTGGTCTTCTGTTGGCAAGCCAGCGTAGAGGGGCAACGGCATGAGCCTTTGCTTGGATGAAGACATATCAGCAATGCGATCACCCAGCTTGTCGATTGCGTCGTCTATTTCCTCACGTCCTGTTAAGAACACGAGAATGTCGCCTTCGCCCTCGTGCTCGTGGATCTTCATTACCGTATCGATTGCTGCTTCCACGTAGTCGTTTGTTGGTTCCTGTAGGTACTGGATCTCAACCGGATATGTGCGCCCTTCGATGCCAATGATGTAGCCAAATTCTTCCGTGCTTTTGCCATGGACCTTTTCGCCGTCGTCTGGGTTGAAGAAGTCAAGGAAACGTTCCGCTTCTAGCGTAGCGCTACTCACAACGACGCGCAGGTCTTCTCGCTTCCTCAGCACCTTCTTCAGTAGGCTCAATAGTATGTCAGAAGATAAGCTTCGTTCATGTGCTTCGTCGACCATAATGACTGAATAGCGTGAAAGGAGTGGATCGACGAGCATCTCGCGAAGTAACAGGCCATCTGTGACAAACTTCACCTGCGTAGCTGCGGACGTGACATCTTCAAATCTGATACTGTACCCGACTTGTTGACCAAGAGGCGTACCCAGCTCTTCTGCTACCCTTGCGGCTACGCTAGTACATGCTATTCTCCGGGGTTGGGTGATCGCTATTTGCTTGCGGCCATTGCACCAACCGGCTTCCAGCAGAAATTTTGGTATCTGTGTTGTCTTTCCTAAGGCCACATGTCAGCTTTGACCTTTAGTGAGAGATTAGAAAATCTTACCACTTCCTGTTTCACCAACGACAATGGTCACAGGGTATGTCTCTATCGTGTAGAGGAGTTGATCTTTGAGTTGCGCGATCGGTAGCAAAGCGGGCGGTTTGTAGAGACTTGGAATCAGAGCAGACTCAACCTCTTCATCCTCCGCCATGACCCTGAAGTAGAAGTAGACTTAGATGAAAAAGGTAGAGTTGTATCGAAGATGCTGAAAGCATCGAGCGATGTCCGGCCCCGGGGCCTTCTTTGGAGATGGCGCTAGCAGGATGCGCTAGCCGTATCGGGACTTTAGTGCCAGACGATGAGAACCTTGGAAGGAAAGTACGAAGAAGAGTACACCACACCTTGCGTCGCACTCCGCGTCATCCATCCATCACGTATGACACCAGAGCGCTCCTATACGAGCGCTTTGTCCAGAGCTTGTAGATACCTTGTACTGCTCAGGTGATCTGCAAAGAAAGAACGCCCAGCAGTGCCAGCTAGCAAATTTAGTTTTCCATGTGTACAATAAGCCCATACTGCTGTTTTCAATTCATATCTGTTACCTACCAGTAACTGTCACTACTGATCAGCTTTCGGCGGCTCGAAAGCCGCACTCAATGTTGTGTGGGAGGGACGCGGACGCTGGGTAGGTATGATAGACATCATCACAGTCTACCTAGGTACATCACAGCCTCAGAGGCTACGCGTTGAGCGGCTCATTGCAACTGCGCTTCCCATCGGCTGAGATACCAGCACTCTAAAGGCGTATCATAGGTACTGCGATACAGAGGTACACATGCTATACTGAATCTCACAAGGTTCTGCTGCTGATGCATACCTTTACAAGTCAGCTTTATCATGAAGTCATTTTGCATGATCCGACTAGCGGCTCTGTAATCTCATCCTAATACATGGTTTACCTGGTAGACTGATGATTTACAGCGTGGTGCAAGGAATACTGGCTCAGGAAGTGTTCTCTCACCGGTGACGTTGGTAAACTCATGCAGTCAGAGACAAGAATGCCCAGGTGAGGTTAAGCTAAGTGTTTCAACTACGCTGCTTCGATATCTGCCTCCTGGTGTGTTATTTCCTGGTGATCCACTTTCCTTTCCTCATTCTTTACTTTGCTTTTCGCTACCTACTTGAACACATGTCACTGCCTAAAACTCGAGTGGTATAACTTGCGACAATCATCATTTCTGAAGGCCTAACGAGGTCATTTACAGCAAGACCCATCAATCACGGGTGCATCATCGAGGTCTACCAGGCTTGTGCACCAAACTCTCCGCAGCTGCTTACATTTGAACAGATGGCTTCCAATGACAAAGTTACTTTGCAGAACATTCAAGACTACGCCAATAAGTACTTCCCAGAAGAGTTCGCGAAATTGCCCTCGGCCGAAAACTTGGTGTGGGTACCAGCGTCACAGACTCGAACTAGAAGACAGTCGTTCATGAAGATCGCCCTGGTCAAGCTTCGCATCGGCGGATATACGGCTAGCCAGTCAATATGGGCCCACAAAGACCTTGATCAGTCATCTGGAGGAGTATACATGCTATCTGGAGGACGACGAATCCTATCGGTAATGTTACCACATATCGAGGAACTCTGCCATCCATTCAAGGCCGCGTATCGGCAAAGTGGATATTCGTTTGACGAGGGAGGACCCGATCACGGCTTCGAGTTGAAAACTTTGATCGAGTACTACTTTTTGCTGAAGGGTGCGATAACGCCCTTCAAGTATCCGTGGAATTTGTGGAATTTTGAATGGGCGGTCAAGTCGGTCGCCAATGGGGCGCCGCTGAATAACATTCCTACCGCCAAATTTAGGGACGATGCAGAGATGCGGATGCGCTCTATGCAGTCTATGCTATCCTCTGCACCTCACGCATCAGCAATGTTACCGGCTGATGTCGATGTCCAAGACCGGAGCTTTGTTCCCATGGAAGATCTGACGTGCACTGTCAAGGATCATACCTCTGAAGAGATTGAAGGAACTGGTAAGTCATGATCAGTCCCATTTGATTGCTTCATGAGGAGTCGTGGCTGACGCGGAATAGGTACAAGAAGACAAGAAGCACACCATACAGACAGGGTATGCGCAATAATCTATAAGTATTTAGGCGAATGAAATTGACGGTAGAACCAGATGAAGAAGCTCTTCAAAGACCAGAAGGATGCGCGAAGAAAGATTGATGAAGACATGGCCGCCACATCAGCCCAAAAAGAGGCACACATGGCAAGAATCCAACTGCTCGAAAATGAGCTCTCTGAGGCACAGGCAGCGCGCAAAGCAAGCGATGGAGCTATGGCAGCTCTGCATGAGCGACACGAACAGATGCAAAAGCTGCTGGACAACAGTCGAATTGAGAACGAAGAAGTGAGAAAGAAGCTGAAGACGCTTGGTACCAGCAGCGTTAAATACGCCCGCCTATGGAAACAGAGGGCGCGAGCAGAACGAGACAGACGGTCAGAGGCGGAAGACAAGCTTAAAGAAGAATGTGCTCGCACAGAAGCCAGGATGCAGAAAGCGCGAGCATTCTACACAAACCAGAAAGAGTTGCTCGAGATACAGGTTGCAGAATGTCCGGAAGAAGAGAAGGAGTCGATTATGGAAGCATTCAAGGCAGAGTATGGAGAGCTTTGCCCAGAATGAGGACAGCGCGAGCATCTGAGATTATCTTGAAGCGGCCGCAATGCTGAGATACGGTAGGTTTGCTAGGATACATTGCGGGGTCCAGATATTTTACTGCGCTGAGCTGAAGATTGCGGTCTTGTTTGGAGTATGTTTGGGTCTTTGGAGCGACTGAGCCTTGATGCAACCTGTATGGGTGTGATGCTCAAGAAACCATAGAGGCGAGATGCTGTATCGGAGCGAAAGGATCAAGACCGATCAAGCTCCGGTAGCGAGTGACAGAGAAACAACAAGCTTAGATAGCCTGAGCTACCTCACTGGAAATAGCAAAAACGTTGGTTTCGATTCCCGTTCTGTGTTGATCGAGCAGTCGCGACTGCTGGGTGGATGACGTCTGACGCTAACACGCGCTTATCGATAGCCCCCTCTAACAATTTCGACAGGGCGCGACTCACAGCCCAGGACACACCCAAATGGCATTTCGCAAGCGCAACATCGCGCTATCTCGCACACCGACAGGCGAAGACGCGTCAAATGCACCATCTTCTCCTTCGATAGCACAACCTGCACCAACACCCCCCGGTGTGCGCCCCTCACCCATCGATGGCCGCCCCACCACGTCGACCGGCACACCTTCGCTCGATGGCATCTTAGCCGGACACGCTGGCCTGGCACTGGGAAACTCGATACTAATAGGCGAGAGCGGGACGACAGACTATGCTGGCGCATTACTGCGGTTCTACGCAGCTGAGGGAGTGGTGCAGGGCCATAGAGTACATGTAGTAGGCATGGGCGAAGTGTGGGGTAGGGAACTACCGGGTATATCAGAAGACAAGTCGGACAAGAGAAAGGAGGGGAAGGAGCGAGCGGAGAAGATGAAGATCGCATGGAGGTATGAAGGCCTTGGGCAGTTTGAGAGTGCTAGAGGTGCGTTGTGTACATATACTGCGAATGCAAGACCATCTATCGAGCAGTTTTGACAAAGTTCTCAACAGGCTCTCCCAATGTGCAGAGGACAGCAGGTCAAGGCGATAGTGCGACAGAAGAGCAGATAGTCTTCTGCCATACCTTCGATCTTGCCAAACGTCTCACGCTCCCTGTAGGAACAGCGATCAACTATGTGCCCATACCTCCACCAACAGGCACTTCGTCACCCTTCCCTCCGATACTGCAAAACATACGGCAGCAGCTCGAGTCGACACCACCACACGCGATCCATCGCATCGTGATACCGTCTCTCCTCTCGCCGGCATTGTACTCTCCGTCAGCGGCCCACCCGACCTCCGTACTCCAATTCCTCCACGCTCTACGCGCGCTACTCCGACAGTATCAAACGCGCCTGACCGCCATTATCACAATTCCCTTGACCCTATATCCAAGATCCTCGGGGCTTGTCCGCTGGATGGAGATCCTCTCTGACGGTGTCGTTGAGCTGTCCCCATTCCCATACTCGCGTGCGCAAGCACTCGCACAATCGGCAGGTACGACGAAGGAAGAAGAACGACCGCAGGGTATGTTCGCCGTTCATAAACTACCGGTGTTTCATGAAAAGGGCGGCGGTGGTGGAGCGGGAGACTTGGGCGAGGACATGGCGTTTACGTTGAGTAGGCGGAAGTTTGTGATTGCGAAGTACAGCCTACCGCCGATGGAAGGCGACACCGAGGCGCAGGAGGAGGCTGTGCGAGAGGCGGCTGGTGGTAGCAAGATGCCGAAGAAGCAGGATCTGGAGTTCTAGAAGGCTCAGATCGGCGGTAGCGTGTAGATGAAGATACCCTGTACAGCACCGAGATGGGCAGTCAAGCCATACTTCTTGTCGAGTGTGCCAAGTTCCTCATTCCGAGTCGCTGTCTTCCCCCATCATGTCTTCCATCTCAATTTGTTCCCAGCCACCAGTGCCTGCTCCCGACCCAAATCCTCGCGTGTAGTTTCGACCGAACGATGCGTTTCGAGGATTGAATGTGACGCCGGCGAATCTTGCGCGGAAGCCGTCGCCCATACAAGACGATGCGGCTAGGAACGCGAGGAAGAAGAGAAACGGGATGAAGAGCAATAGGCTCAGGAGGGCCAGGACGTTCATGGCGGGCTTGTGATGGTGCTGGTGCTGGTGCGGTGAAAGAGAGCTGCACGTGGAAACCTTAAGTTCGAGGCCCCTATGACATAGTGTCGGCGATTGGCCTCATGGGGGCCGAGCCCCTGGCCGCCGTCAACATTTGGGCTACGACTCAACTCGACTTTACCCCTTCTCGCGCCTTACAATTTCAAGAACCATGGATCGCATGTTTAAACTACCACTCGGCGCGCTCCTGCTGCTTTCATGCGCCCTCAATGCCTCGGCGCACGGCGGCGCTGAACATGCGCAAGTCGAAGTCGCAGCAGATGCCGACTGGGCGACGCGACACATGGCTGGTATGAATTTCCCCAGATCCCCACAACATGAAACAAAAAGTAAGGGCCGTTTACTGATACTGTCGCAGAGGAGCATCACATCGCGGGCTACGACGCAACCACCTTCTTCAACATGCACGACTACGACAGTACCGGTCTATGGACTACCGTCGACATCCGCCGAACCTACGGTCTCGAAGACCCCTCCAGCGCCTCCATCTCCGAAATCAAGAAGCAAATGGTCGTCCAGACTATTCTAGACATGTTCGATATCAACAAGGACGGCTCCATCACCTTGGCTGAATTCCTGCAAAAGGATTCCGACAATGTCAAGCTGCCGGACTTTGGCATGGGCCCAGGGCACCACGGTGACGACGAGTACGAGTACGAGATCCATCATTGGGAGAAGTACCACAGCGGCGACGATGTGAAGGAGGAGGACTTGAACCACCCAGAGGACATTGCGCATTTCAAGATGCATGAGGAGAAGGAGGCGGCACAAGAGGAGTGGGAGAGGCTCGAGCTCAGAGGCGTCGTGGAGAAGAACATTCCCCAGAAATACAGGCGGAATTGAGAGGCCCAGTAAAGGTCTCTTGACAGGCGAACGGCGCTAAGGTGGATACAATGAGTTCTTGAATACGCGGAGATGATACCTATGCCAATATACGGCTACCGAATTACAGAGCACTTTTCAGAGCCATTTCTCGAACCACGCAAGTACCTGCTTCTCCGAGTCCTCCAGCGCCTTCCTCTCCTGCGGATCGTCTGGGTTGCCTCTGACCGCGAACCCATGCCTGCCAGGCGTATACGCCTTGTGTTCGATCTCAGGGAACTCTGTTCGCGCCTTCTGTGCCTTCGCATGACATTCCTCCACTTTGCCCTTCGTCTCAAAACTCACAGCGATATCCTCCACGCCCCACGCAAAGCTCGTCGGGACAACAAGACCCTCGACGTCTTCGGGAACAACCAGGTGGCTTGGGTGTAGCGCCACGATCGCATCGGCAAGCGGCTTCTTCACCCCTTCAATCTCGATCATGTTGCTCTCCAACCCCGTGCGAGCAGCATACTTTCCGCCCCAGCAGAACCCAACCATACCGATCTTCCTCCCGCTCGGCGTCGCTCGCCTCAACTCCCGCATGAAGTCGAGACAAATCTTGTCGGACTCCGCCTTCCCATGCCTCCGCTGCCACATAAGAAACGTTGGCAAACTAGCCAAGATACCCGTATACTTTGCGAATGTACTCTGTGCCGCCGCATCGACGGGAAGCAGCGCATCGGCGACTTTGAGTCCGACTGGGTCGCCCTTGAAGAAATCTGGGAGCAGGACTAGGTACTCTCCTGAGGCGGCGTAGGCATCGGCGATGATCTTGTTGTTGGGGAGACCCAGGCCGAAGATATCGGAGTATATGCAGATTGTTGCGCGTGGTGAGGTTCGGTTTCCGACTGTGTAGACGGAGAGGCCGTGGAGTGTTTCAATGGTGCCTTTGGGAGTTCCGGCATGGATCGAGCCCTTGATGCACTCTGTTGAGCAGGAGGTTCCTGTTGCCATGATGGATATCTGGTATCTAGCCTTGTGCTTCAATGGTACTCGGTATGGTTCGCGATTTGAAAGAGAAGATGTAACTCGAGAAGGTTGACTACGAGTATGGATCCTTCTTGCCCATCACAGCGCAATCTCCTACCTTTATACACCCTCTGTCCACGATACACCTTCATCTAAACGGTCTGACCGTCAGAACAAGCATCGTACCAAGCGCTGATAGCGCGACTATTACCCTTTACGTCTGCATGACTCTGTAGCCACCAACTGAATCATATCCCATTCTCGCCAATCGTAGATCTCATGAATGGTGGAAGAAGTGAGCAGGCTGCTACGCCCTGCCGATAAGGGTCATCACACGCTAAGCCTCTTGCGGCTTTTTGAGCGAGAGTGTCAGCATCGAGACCGCGCGCGGGGAAGCTGGGTCTTCTTCAACACTACTAGCGACGTCTCATGTGAGGTGTCCTCTGAATCATTTGCGCAGTCGGGGTGAAGTCAAGTGTTTGTGGCCGTCGCGGGATCTGAGTTCACCACCACGTCATGCGCCTCCAGACGAGTTCGGGGCGCCCCGGCTTCACGTCGTCGAGCTTATAAGCATTCAGCATTCCGTGCGGAAGCGGCGTAGTTTCGGCCGCGCGCGTTGCTATTTGGGTATCAAGAGAATAAAGGGTGCATGCCAGCTGGGATAATATCAAAGTGGTGGGATGCGGGTGGGTAGCTAGGTACCCAGGTGCCCTCGATACCTAATTTCATGTCCCAACACCACTACTTAATGCCTGACTAAACCAGCAAATAATCGCTCGAATTCTCAGTTCAGATATGACGACTACCTAGATACGCTGAGTTCAAGGCATACGAGAATTGCGCTTTGGTATAAGTGTAAGTCTGACTTTAGTTATCCACTGAGATGCTGGGTCAGCCTGAGGCAACCGCAGACCCTTTATCACGTGCTCACTGTCTGCCTAGATACTGATCTACTATAAAGACGAGATTTGCTGGTCGATGTTACGCAAGTGCCCGTCCTCTCTTCTACTTAGAAAGCCTCAAATACACATCGTCTCGTATTAGACAGCATGGCCGACAACGGAAGCCCTGCCTCCGTCAGCGAACCCAAGAATGCTGATCAGCTGGAGAAAAGTGTCGAAGAGTCAAGGACATCCGCCCTGCGCGTCATCGACGAGAGAATCGCACTCTACGACCCCAAGTCCGTGGATCAAAAGGCCTCGCCCACTACACCGTTAGTCTCGCAACACACACGCCATGGCGGATCTCACCGCGCCCTAGACGTCGTCGAATTACTCGAGCAAATTCTCTCTCACGCCTCCCCGAGGACTCACTACGCAGCATGGAATGTTTCAAGACATTGGAGAGAGGTCGTTGTGCACACGCTAGATACACAATATCGCGTCCCGTACCCTTGCGCAGCTGTCGAACACGGTGACGCTATTCCGCCGAGCCTCAAGTGGCTACCGCCATCTAATGATGAGGTCACCGAACTTCAGGACACTATCGACATGACATCTTCGGGAACTCATGATCGTAGACTGTTCGATCCCTTTCTCACGGCGCAATTCACGCAAGCAAATACACTCCCGCAGCCGTTGCTCAATGCTCTCCATACCAGGTTCCTCGTGGATTTTAGAATGCGCTCTTTCAAAGATTTCTACTATCCAGAAGATTGTCCTCGATTGCTGGATCTGTCTCAAGTCGAAGTGAATCCATATTTCGTCGATCTATTCGGGGATTGCTTCCAATCAACACAGGGCAACTACACCATTACCGTTAAGCCTCGCATAAAAGACTATTTCCAAGATATATCATCAGCAAAAGGGCCGTATCGGGAGCAACTCATTCACAGCATGTTTCTTACCCGGCCACCCTGCAAGGTTTTGCGCATTTACGCAATAGGGAAGAGTCACGAAGATCTGCAAGTGGTAGGAACAGTCAATCGAACGGATGGCATTCATATTGGGGATCTTCTGCTTCTGCTTCAAAAGCGGTTATCTACAGCAATCGAAGTGTGGCGCAACAGGTCCCAATCCCTACGGGAGGATATTGCAGGTCATACAACTCTTAGGGGTATACACAAGGCTTGGAACTGTCCCGGCTTTCCCAAACTCGCTATCTTTCTAGAGAGTACAACAGAGCACGGTCCGCCGATGGCGCAACGTCTCTCCTACATCAATCAACGCAACCATTATATGCACAAGACGGAGTGGCATGAGGACCATACAAAGCCTACCAGGATCTTTGCAGGGAATCCGGAGCTGAGGGACCCCGAATTGGAACGTCCGCTAGATCCCAGCTTGCGTTCACGCTTGACATCCTCGCGTCGCCCTTGAGAATTTCTGTGTTGAGTTTAGCAAGTGGACAATCTAGCAAAGCTGCGAGTTGTTTGACTAGACCGAAACTAGTCTGCATGCGTCGAAAAAGAACAATCTCGGACTCATTCTCGTTCACCCATTGATTTGGAGCGCTCGCCTCTACAAAGCTGGAAGCTCATCACACAAGATGTATTCGCTCTCAAGTAGTCATCTCGACGATACCGAGATCAAGATGCATTCACACTTTCTAACACTCTAGGTACTGCCTTACAACCAGCTTCATCGCACTAAGCTGTTGATGTAAGCAACACCTTCAACTCTATCATCGTCATCCTCGATATAACTTTGGTCTTTTCGGAAGACAAAGTTGGTCGCATTGGTGGCGTAGCTCGGCCATTCGGGAGCTTGGGATACTGCAACGCGTGTTAGTGTACTCTTTCTACCCACACAATGATAGACATTCAAACTTACCTCCATGACCATTAGGATCAAGATCGTACGCGAAAGACGTCCACATGCGCATCACTAGCTTTGACAATGCAATATTTTCGGAGCTGTTGCCCAAAGGAGTGAGCTGCTGTTCTGGGTTTCCAAAGACGAAGGGTATCTGTCCTAAAGTCAGTCCTTGCTTCTGTTAATCACGCAATAATGGCGTGGTACTGACCTCGGAGAAGTGATTGACGCCGATTGTTTCCGGTGTGTTGTTGAACTTGGGCGCATCCCATCGATACGAGTAGACGTGATCGACATGCTCGCTCATGCTTTGCGCGAGCAATCTCCGAGGGGCATACATGGTCAGATCAGTTGCGATACTTTGGTACCTTTTGTACTGCAGACCATACTGTGGCCATGTGCGATTGCCCCAGCCGTATGGCTCGCCAAGTACAGGGTCGTTCGGGTACAGCTCGAGAAGCTTCTCAGCGACAGTCTCGTTGACGTTCCAGCGTTTGGAGTGTACGAGTTGATTGATAGCGTCGGAGTCGCTGTTCACCCCGTTCACACCAAAGCCTTCGTCGGTATTGGTGCCAAGTATGAGGGGTATCTTCGCAAACTTGCCTTCTTGCAATGATTGTTGACCGTATCGAGGTATCAGGCTACCGTCGATGACGTGGAACCATTCAAGACCTTGGTAGCCATATGGTGCGATGGTCTCGTAGGGTACGTCACGAAGACACTGGAGCGTATCCTCGGCACCTGAGCAGCCGACCGACTCAGTCAGATTGTCGTACATGTGCTGGTACCAGTCGGTGCCATTGAGTGGTGCACCAACAGCATTACCGCTTTCTAGGATAGCCGCGCGAAACAGGCCTTCGTTATCGCCGTTATGTGCAGCGATGTGGTCACCAACGGAGTATGCGCCCGCTGATTCACCCCAGATTGTGACCTTTTTAGGATCACCACCGAAGGATGATATGTGCTTGTTCACCCACTGCATCGCGAGTCGTTGGTCGCGAAGTCCTAGATTCTGTGCGCCGGCGGCCTCAACTTCTTCACTGTACAAGAAGCCAAATGCTGCCATGCGGTAATTGATCGAGATGCCAATGACGGGCTTGTTGTTGAGTACTGATTGCTGAACAATGTAGCTCATGTTGTATCTGGCGTTGATGAGTGTTTCATCCCGAATGCAGTCACTTCAGAGAGCCTACCTTGGATCACTAGTAGCACCCTGCTGCCATCCGCCTCCGTAGATCCATAGCAATATCGGGAGATGTGTCTCATTTGTCCTTGGTTTGACGATGTTTAGGTGTAGACAGTCTTCTCCTAGTTTTGTCCAATTTGCGGCAACCAGGGTGTTTGTGTCTCCACCATATCCTGTGCAGTCAACACCGTACTGCGTGGCATTGTGGTATGTTATAGGTGAATCCGGTGCTAATTGAGCGGGAGCGAATCTCACTGGCGTTGGAGCATACTTGACACCTAAGAATAGGTCTTGGTCGAATTCCTGCAGGAAACGTCCTTGGTATATGCCAGCCTGCGAATGAACGATTGGTGATGATGCGAGAACGGGAGTGGCGAAACACACGGCGGCCAACCAGGATTTTCGAAGCTTCATGGCGGAAAATTCTGGAGAATTGCGCTATGCTTGCAACGCATATGCATTCGCTCATATACAACAGCTGCCATCTGAAGCCTCTCCATGAGGCTGTACGGAAGCGTCGTTGCTGAAGATCCACCAATGAGAAATATGAATACATCACCGTCTACATAGCCGGTAGTCATTTGCCGAACAGAATCATTCTAGGGTTGTTTGCAATCTTGGCATTGTAATGGTTGCTTGGGCGCCCGGGCGAAGCGCATGGGAACAGTCGTGATGAAGGTGTCAGCCTATCGGACTGCATAAGTCAGGTATGCAGTGCCTCATGCGATGACATACAACTGCGAAGCCGGTCAGCACAGTCAAGACGATGATGATGTGTCACATTAGCCGGCGAGTTGATGCATCTCGGTTGATGCAAATTAGTGGCTAGTCCGGGGTAGACATTCGCTCCACATTACCCCGCAAGCATCACGATATGCCGTGCATAAGGCACCGTGCGCAGGTCATTCAACCGGAAACTTGGTCGAAGTCCGGACAGGTTGGACAAAATATCACAAACCCCAAGACCCGTGTCCGGAATAATTGACTTTCCGCCCTATTCGAAGAGACTGGTTGGACAGTAAAGAGGCCGTTGACGAACACATGGAAAGAAGCCTTGGGATCAATTTAAGCCGACGCCAAAGAAAGCCCTGCTACTCTTCACGTGACTCACATCCGTCACGCAGAGGCCCTCATAAGCCATGCTCTCTCTCAGTAATGTGGCACCACATTTGGTCTTGCAGGAAGACGCCGAAATAATTCTTAGATCTCCACGGTTTCTCTGGGCTTGCAAGAGACCAATCGAAATGTCGTAAGAACTAGACACAAGTCAGCATGGGGACTCGGCACGAGAGTTTGGAACAACGTACCTCGAAGATGACCTTCCTCATCTCCAACCATGCTATAGGCTTCCCGAGACACTGGTACTTGCCATACCCGAAGATCATGTCTGTAGTACGGCGCATAGCGTTCAAGCGCTCAAGCTGGATGTCGTGGTGCTCATCGAGTAGCCAACGTTCCGGTCTGAAGCAGTCGACATCTTCACCAAATATCTCCTTGTTTCGATTGAGGCCCATTACGTTATACCCAATGTTGGTACCGCCAGGAAGGAAATACGCTTTACCGTTGATTGTGACATTGTCGCCTTCGACGGGTACCTTCTTCGGAGCGATATCAGTGACAGGTGGGTGAATTCGAAGCCCTTCACGCATTACGGCTTGTAGGTATGGCAGGGTCTTCATCGTCTCGTCAGACACAATACCGGACGATGTAGCAGCATGACCTGAAGTAACTGCATCATCAATCTCGGCCTGCAGCTTTTTGTACGCCCTATGGCTGGTCATCAGGTAGAGCATCGTTCCACGTATAGCAGTCGCAGTCGTGTCAGACCCTGCTAGAATGGTGAGCATCGACTCAGTCACGATATCGTCGCGTGTCAATCCGTGGCGTATGAACGACGAAAGCATGTCCGAGCGACTATTGGTGGGCTTCTCCAGACGCGAATCGATGAGTTCCCGAGCTACCGTTCTCATCTTTCCATAACCGCTCTTGTCCTTGTCTGAGGGCCCGAGCATGCGCGCGATGGGCGGCCAGTGGAGGTAAGGTGTCAGTCCAAGGGCCCCGGTGAAGACCATAATTGCCAATCCGACTCGACCAGCGCTTATATAATCGTCGAGGTCAGCATCGGCTTTGATGTCCCCAAACGCTTTACCGAAGCCGATTTTGCTGATCACGTCGAGAGTAAGATACTGAATCTTACTGGCGAGATCCACCGGCTCGTGCCGCGTAGCAGTCGAAAGATACTTTGATCTGATCAGGTCCAGAAGCTGGTGTATGTGTTCGTCCATGTCAGATTCCAGGGACCAATTCTCTTTGCCTGAGTACCCCGACGCCATCTGTTGGCGCCGCTTCGTGTGCTGAGCCTCGTTGAGTTGGCTAAAAACATGGTCCTTGCCAACCTCCATCCGCACGGCACTGTTGTACCATGCTGTGCGAGTGTACGGCGAGCGCACTGCGTTCATATGGGCCAGCAGATCTGGCGACGATGTTAAAAGGTCGTTGGGACCAATGCGAGCGAGGGGTCCTGTAGTTCGGCGCTGTCAGCAAGGGGCAAGCGGGCCGCACAGGGGCGAGACGGCGCCTCTCCCGCGCAGCGACCTTGGGACTTCCACCTATCTACTCACCATATTCATCGCCAACGGCTTTGTACCAGAGATGCGAATGTCGACTCAGTATAGCGCGCATATGCAGCAGTTCACACCATCCCGAGCTGATCGGACCAGGGAAGGCTCGAAGGCGCCGGTAGCGAACGAAGGTCGCCACAGCATAGGCCACAAGAATGACCGCTACGAGTAGCCATTTCGCCGCGTAGAGCTGCGCAAACAAAGACATGATGAATATGCGATATGCTCACTCAAGAAAACGGACACGAGTCAGGCTACTAATGAACCTTCCTGTCCGAGCGGGGTCGCTCGCTCCTGCACGCATCTCACCACAACCGCATGCTGCGATGCACAGCAACGCTTACGAAGTCTGACTTACAACGGAGATTAGGACCAATGAGCATTTCATACCGATCACGAGCGGTCCACACGACCTGCAGATGCCAACGCGCACTATCGAGTGCCAATGACACGAGCGTTCGGGTGGCACAGCAGCATAGCAACGCGATAGCAGCGACATAAGAGAAGACGCTCGCTAGACCATCGGGGTGATACCTTTTGAACGGACAGCTATGATTCCACGAATTCTATCAGTTGGATTAGCTGTCACTTGCGCTAATGCGCTACCACACGCTGCTTTCAAACGCCACATCTCAGAGCTTCGTCCTAGCTATGACTGGGTGGTATGCGGTGGCGGCACCGCGGGTCTAACAGTAGCTGATCGACTTACTGAGGCTTTCCCAGAGAGTAGGTTCTCACATCCGTCTGGAAAAATACTTTTGGCTGACCTCCATCGCAGAAACAGTGCTGGTTGTTGAGTACGGCGAAGTCGGATATGCGCCAGGGGCATTTGATCCGCCAAGCCTCGTTTGGGGCGGGCCAACTGACAAAGCGGGATACTTCACATTCAACTCAGTACCTAATCCGGAAATGAATGGCAAACAGGCTTTGCTGTTTGTTGGTCAGACTGTCGGTGGCAGTAGCGCCATCAACGGCCAGTACTTTGATCGCGGATCTAGACATGACTATGACGCTTGGACTCAGATTGGAGATCCTGAGTTTGCAAACAGTACGGCCAAGTGGGACTGGGAGAGCCTGTTTCCCTACTTCAAGAAGGTGAGTATGGTTGCCGCTCGTGTCTGACGTTAAGCTGACTCCAAATAGAGCGTGACCTTCACTCCACCAGAGCCAAGCGTGGTGGAACAATATGGGTTCACTTGGGACATGTCCGCGTATGGCGGCACGACTCCCATCCATTCGAGTTTCCCACCTTTTCTATGGGGCGACATTCACCTCGCGAGGGATGCTTGGGGAGATATGGGTATCCGAGCCCTAGATGAGTGTGGAGGTGGTGACAAAGAAGGCATGTGTTGGGAACCCATATCTCAGCATCCAGTCACGGCCAGGCGCTCACACGCTGGTTTGGGCCACTACTCCGACGTTTCGGGTAGACCAAATTACGACTTGCTGGTCAAGCATCAGGTCATCAGGGTTGTCTACACTGACGGCGTCTCACACGGGCCACCACGGGTAGAGATACGATCTCTTTCTAACGATGAAGTGTTCAATGTAACCGCCAAAGCCGAAGTTGTCATTTCTGCCGGCGCAATGCACACACCTACCATCCTACAAAGGAGCGGCATTGGCCCTGCAGCTCTCCTCAATGACTTGAACATCACCGCGGTACTGGATCTTCCTGGGGTAGGCTCAAACTTGCAAGATCACTCTTCTCCCGGCATATCGTGGAACTGTGAGTATCGCGGTTGCTCGTTAAGGTCGACACTCTGATCACTGACTGTGTCACAGATACGAAGCCTGGCAACTTCTCCAATATGCCTTCAGACATGCTTGATCCTGCTTATGCCGCCAGAGCAGTAGCAGAGTTCAATATGACGCCAGCACGAGGCCCTTACACGTTGGCCATGAGTAATACTGCCCTGTACATCTCACTTCCTAACGTGACCGAGGAGTACATGGAAATTATTGAGGAAATGCGCAAGACGGCTGATAGCGACTCAGCGGCTGCTCATTTGCCAGAGAACTCCGACCCAAGCCTCGTTGCTGGTTACAAACGTCAGCTTCACGTCCTTGCCGACCTGCTCGCAAACCCAGAAGCCCCCAGTGTAGAAGTACCCTTTGCGACTGGGACGACTATGCGTCCTATCATTCTCCATCCACTGAGTCGCGGTGCTGTTCATCTCAATTCAACCGACCTGTTAGCTCAGCCCATACTTGATTACCGCGCTGGCTCCAGTCCCATCGACTTCTCCATCCACATTGCGCATGTCAAATGGCTTCGTAAGGTACTAGATACTCCGACTATGCGCAGGTACGGTGCGGTTGAAGCCACTCCTGGCCCAGCTGTTCAGTCAGACGAAGACCTCAAATCTTACATCAAGGGCTCCATGGTACTCTCGCATTTGCACCCATGCTGCACAGCTGCGATGATACCCAGGAATCTGGGAGGCGTGGTAGGACCAGATCTGAGGTTGCATGGTGCGGCCGGATTGCGCGTTGTTGATATCAGTATTCTGCCTTTTCTACCAAGTGCACATACGAGCTCTACAGCGTATGCGATTGCAGAGAAGGTCAGTGGGATTGTAAATGTTGCAGGATATACGCTAACGTTGGATAGGCTGCGGACATCATCATAAACAGTCTATAAACCATTCTTGTCAATGCCTAATGGAGACTACAACGTATTATGGATAGCTAATACATATTACAATGCAACTGTTGCATGACGGAGAGTACTCACGATGTCAAGAGACGTCGTTCGACTTTTACATCTGCGGACAGCTTCTGCAGTTCTTGACTTAACTCGTCCGCCGCAGCATTCAGTTTCGCATCATCGATGGCTTCCAACGCATCCAGAATGAAGAGTACATTCGATGTGCCGTCGCTCAATGCAGTCCTCGAGCATTGCCTCCAATTCCAACGTCTGCACGTTACACCACCATCGTCGCACCAGACGGCCTCTCCGGGACTCGGGTTCTCAATGACGACTTCGCCGCCAGATTTTGTGTCGAATTTCTCGTCGCCTTTTGCGCGTATCAGGAAAGGGCTTCCCTGGTATTTGTCGAGATCCTCGCCTCCAAGAGGGAGTTGATGTTTTATGGAAATCGCGTTGTAGATGTCCGTTAAGCGATTCACACGCGGTAGGCCCGCATCAACACGACGTAACAGTGCTTCGAGACTGTTCATAGTCTTCTTGGGCTTTGCGCCGAAGGCTTTGTAGGCTTCCTTCCATTGCGCGACATGCGCAATGTCGTTGACCGGAGTCTTTGCCAGTGCCTCCTTGGCCGATGCTTCTGCCGAAGAGAGGAAAGCTTCACTTGCTGAGTCGGAAGGGCCTGGTGGTATGTTCGTGACCACCATGAGTAGCGCGCGATAATCAGGCCGGAGTTGCAAGATTTCTGGGGCGATGCGCGCGTTGGCAAGATAACTCGAAGGGGTTTGGATGTTCGCCATTTTGAATGAAGACGAATGTAAGAGACAAAGATCAGCTAGTCGAAGTCTGAAGACAGGCGCGATGGTATGCAAGGAGCGTAGAAATGTACACATGCGGGCTCTTTGAAGCCATCTCGGTATTTAAACATTGCCCACGCTGCTTTGCTGTGCGCTCTAATTTTCCATGTTTGGAACCAGACTTCCATATTTGACCACAGGGCGTGGAAGTGGAAGTCTCTGTTGACAACTTGACATGGACCAGTCTAGCCGCTTTCCGCTGCGGCTAGCGTGGTGCTAGTGAAGACCTGGCACCCACCATCGGACATCGTCGCGTGCAATCAACGCGTCGCCCACATCGGCGTCATCGCCACCCAGCATGTCGTTCCTGGTCAATCCATTTTCTCGGTCATCTCAGGCTGGTAACGCGTGGTTTTGCGCTGGCGCAGTGACGTCGTACCCGGATCTCGACGACTCCATGCGCGTCGGCGAACAGCGCCCGTGCGGCAAAAAGTATGTGGCTGGATGCCGGGTGTTCCACGTGCCTCGCAACGATAGCTCCAAAGCCACCGAGGTAGCAATCGATGAGTGGATGGATCCAGAAGTTGGTGGCGATGCAAAGGACCAAGTGATGGTGTTCCAGTACAAAGGAAACTTTGTCGCGGTCAACCACGTACGTCGCGACATCGGCACTGTGTGTATTGGGCCTATGTTGACCAAGACCCGCGCAGGAATGCCCGCACTCTTCGTATCCACTCTCTAATGGTACACCCTTCGATATCGAAGACTTTGGCGTCGTGCTCAGTTCAGGCATCCAGTGTCCAAAGCACGACTGGTCGTTCGATCTTCATACCGGTCGATCGGACCGTGGTAGCTATAGGCTTCAAGTTTGGGAAATCCAGCAAAGGCCAGGAAATGAAGATCAAGAAGTATGGGTCAGAAGAAAGCAAAGAATCGGATAACATAAAACGATGTGAACCTGCACCCAACGTCGCGAACGAATGCTTGACCTCATCAACAGAACATTTTCGTATTAACACACTATCGTATGCGCTATTCTCTACAACTTGATCCCCGTTACTTCGAAAGTCTGCACCATGTTCTTCTCGAACTTCGACCAGAACTTTGTGCCACTGATTGTGGTATCGAGATGCTGCACGTAACGATCGCCGCTTCCGATCTGGGTGCTCCACCTCGAGACAGTTGCGCCGGATGAAGGACGCCCCGAGAACCCTGACAGCTCAAAGTTTATATACTGTGCAGCGTCCCAGTTGACGGCCACGATGACCAACAACGACTTGCTAGCATCGTAGGCAGCAACAACGTTGTCTCGGCCACCATCGAGGATTTTCATACCCGGGCGCATGTGCCGGGCGAACTGCGCAAGCACGTAGTACTTTTGTGTCGATGTACCCAGCGTTTTAGCATCATTGTCCGCGTCGATGAGACCCCAGCCTCCCTGGTCGAGGACTTGCCAGTACTCCCACGCCGTGGGCTTCAGCTGGCGAAGATCCTGGAAAAGGTACCTCGCGAGGTTCTCGCCAGAAGCCACGCCATCACCGTATTCGCTGTTCCAGAGAGATTTCCCGGCCTGTGTAGCCAGTGTGCGAACACCAGCGCGGTCGCCGCTTCCGTATTGGTATCCATGGACGTTTATCCGGTTGATCTTGCCGAGTGCGCTGCTGCCGATTGTCTTCAACGTGGTGGCAGCTTGATCGTAGTACGACTCATCTGAGGCGGCGATCTTTGTTGAGAGCCCACGATTTGAGAGTTGCGTGTCGAGATAACCGACAATCTTGGCTTGGGTGGACACATCAACGTGGCATCCTTCTTGGGTGCCGTCGGCCTTCCACCAGTTCGCACTCGGCTCGTTGAAAGGGTCGACAGTTTCAAATTCGACTCCCCAGTTATCCTTGAAATGCTTTGCGACCGTCGCCATATATACTGCATGCTGCTCCAAGTTCCACGACTGGATGTTCTCGCTTCCATCCGCAGCTCCCGATGGATTGTGGTTCTTCGTCATCCTGAACAAGTCAATACCTTACACACATTTTGTCCATGAGTTGTACCTACCACCACATCGGTGCGTTTGAGAACAACTCTGTTCTGTCTGCTCCACGTGCGATCGCTTTATGGAGTGCTGCTCGCTGGTTGACATCAACCGTCCTAGAGCACAAACGGTGATCAGTAAATAGTCCCGTGGCACACGGAGGAGGTAGGTATCTTACCAATTCCAGCTTGAAGAGGCCGGGTCGCTGCTCTTCCAGTCCAACCAGTAGCCTTCCATCTGCCTCGACCTTTTTACGTTCGGGGACACTACCATCTTCTCGCCATCGATGGTGTTCCAGCTACAGGCACCGGCGTTGTAGCGTACAATGTTGAAGCCAAGACCCGGAAGAGTCTCGCCGTTGAACTTGGTCTGCTTCAGCGTAAAGAAGATATCCGCAAGATCGTCTCGGTTCCCAAACTGCTGCGCCCACCATGCCAACGACGTTCCCCATCCTTCCCAAGTACCCCAGTTCGATTTTGAGTCAATGGTAGTCGTCACATCGGCATCAACCGAGTAGCTACTGGCTAGCACGATGGCCGCTCTGATGAAGGTCGATGTACGCATTGTAATGTGGTATTGGACGGAGCGGTTGATGTTCACTACATACTCTCATCGTCTCTCTGTTATTAAATATAGCAGTCAACTCAATCTCGGCGCCTCATTCAGGTAACGCTCCCGCACACACCATCTTCTCACTAACTTCCACTTGGCTCTTGGATAATGCTGGAAGCGGGGTAGTCTATACACGATGTAGTGGTACTACCTCGGCGCTCGACCGTTTCGTTGCGGCGAAGCCTTGGACGACGAGCCACTCACAACACCCACATTGAGACTAAGACCCATCCGCGAATGAGGATGTTCAGAGGATCAAGGTTGCGCCGGCGCTTGGTAGAGTTCCAACGAACCGGATTACAGCCGGAGTTACTCCGTCGACGAACTTTACGGTTGCAGTGGTAGCGGAAGATTTCGGCGTAGAGTTCTTCCGCATTAGCATATGTTATGCCTCGCGATGACGGCAGTGGGACATATGCCGAAGCCATGCAACAGTAGTAGGATGCATGTAACGATATTGGGTGTTGTATCCGCCATTAAGGTTCGGGTGTGGAGGCGGACGCTAAGGGGCTGGTCCCCACCATGTCACCCTTGCCACCGGATCACGAGTTGCGGAGTGGAGAATCTATCGGGTTGCGGATTAAGTGGCACCCGCAGTAAGTCAGATGATACAGTATTCTCACGGTCATAGTGTTCAAAACGGCAGGTCTGATATGCCTTGGTATAGTAGAGACGTCACGTAGAAGGGCTAAGTGATTATTGGGGATTCAAGTCCGCCTTGGATATTAATATTGCACACATAATACTGTATTATGCTAACATGCTTAGAAGAGGTTTGCGGAGCCCAGCATTGCGCTGCTACCCTCGGTCGTGTTACCGGAAACTGTGCCGTTGGCATCGGCCTGGTTTAACCAAGCAGCCTTCAAAGACCAAACGCCAACACTGGCGGTCACTGTTTCGTTCAAGCCCGCCACCCTCAGCATCATCGTGTCGAGCGGTTGCGTAGGGAAGAAGACTGCGGTCGCACCAAGCTCGCCTTCGTTCAGGAAGACCTCAATAATGCTCCTGTCGATGATACCCGAGATCTTCCATGAGCCCTGTCTATCGTCGTAAAGACCGGTGGCAGTGAACTTGTCGTTGAAGTAAGGGCTCTGGAAAGCCTCAGTCTTTCCACGGTCTAGCCAAACATCGCCAGATGAGAGGAAGGTTCCACCTGAGATCGACTCGCCGGAAACCGAAGACTGGAAGGTAAAGCTGATAGATCCCGCGAGCGAAGGGCCGCCAGTGAGTCCCGTGACATTGACTTCAAAGTAAAGTGCGCCCGACTCGACGGTGGAGTAGTCTACGAAGGCAGTGCCGTTACTGGTGATTTCAGTGGAAGCGAGCTCCTCTTCCACGACCGACATGATGTTGGAGGGGTATGAGATCAAAGACAGACCCTGGCGGGGCAGGTCTTTGAGGTAATGGCCTCTGGGTACGGTCATGACGCTACGGAAGCCATCGCCGACTTCCTCACCAGCAGTGGGAACGACGTTGGTGTACTGCCAGTTGCTCGCCCAGTTAAGCGTGATCTGGTCTTCGTCGGCGGGAACACCGTAGAAGAATTGACCGGCGTAGTTATCCTTGGCGAAGTCCGTAAGGCGTGTTCGAGCGTCATCAGCTTCGAAATGCGTGCCGTTGAAGTTACCGACGAAGTACTCCGTGATGGATCCGCCAAGAGGAGCTCCTGGGTTGATGGAAATCAACATAACATACTTGGACTCGTCGCTAGTGGAGTTCTGCACACGCATCTCAACCATGTTCGGGCACTCGTACTGCAGACCGGTGATGCCGTAGCTGGAGAAGTTGCTGGTGGGAGTCCAGTCGATCAAGTTAGGGCTTGTGAAGATGCCGATCTTGAAGTCGATGGGGTAAGCCACGACCATGACCCAGCTCTCAGTAGGCTCGTACCAGATGACTTTCGGGTCACGGAATTGAGTGGGGTTGGTTCCACCGGGAACGATGACGGGGTTATTCTCGTACTTGGTGAAAGAGTATCCGTTGTCGTGGGAGTAGGCAATGTGCTGAGTCTGGTTCTCGGGAACATTGATGGTGTAGATCGCGACTACGCCGTTTGTCTGATTCGGGAAGAAGCCGCTGGTGTTGTTGTGATCGATGACGGCAGATCCTGAGAAAACGCCCTCGGTTGGACCACCGGGAAAGATGGCGATGGGCTGATTTGTCCATGTGTACAGGTCTTTGCTGGTCGCGTGACCCCAGTGTTGGTTTCCTGCGATGTTCTCGGTCGGGTTGTACTGATAATAAAGATGATAAACCCCGTCTTCGTCCACGTACATGCCGTTGGGATCATTCATGAACCCAGCAGGCGGGCTGAAATGCACTTGAGGTCGAAGCGGCTCATCGTAGTCGCCTGAAATCGGGACCCCCGTAGGTACATTGGGTTGCGAGTACGTCGATGTGCTTGATGCTGAAGGGGCTGACGAATTCTGGGCATGTCCAAACGTGAGCAGGCCACCGATGGCTGCGAGTACAGAGAGATGGGAAGGCATGGTGAGATGATTTCCGGTCCGATGCCGATCAATTAGAGATATACCGCCAGCTTTATGCTTCTCGAAGGACGGGATGCATCCGGGACTAGAGGGCAAATTTTCGCATCGCCTGTGATGACAAAACCAGATGTGGACGTGCCCCGCATGTCTTCCTCCATCTTACTCCGCTTATCACCCCATGGGTACCAGCATTTTCGAATCCGTGTACTGTAGCCGGTGGGTGCATGATGAGGTTGAGCCGGCATCGAGGGAATTGGGCATATCGGAGCTTCCAAGTACGTACCTTCTCCGCAAAACCACTCAAAGGCTACGCCGCACCTAGCTAGATTCAGGCCTGGGGTAAACGTGCGTTCTCGGTTGCCCAGGTTTACTTTTAAGCGTTGGGTTAGGATTGATGGGACCGATGTGCAATTGCGTCAACGGATGTGCTAGCGCGAAGCGAAATCTTCCCGAGAAACATTCCATGCCCCGATCTTGTTCTGTCAGCAGCAGTAAATGAGGAGCGTCAGTGAGCCAAGACAAAATGTGCGGTAACAAGGCCATTAGAGCCTCAACCTTTTGTCCTAATGCTGGCGTTGTGGGAACTAATGTACTCGTACATGCCATGGCGACCAGCTCGAACGAAGACCAAGCCCCAGTCTGAGTCAAGAGAGCACTCCGTTCCTCAAAGCGCGAGCGCAAAATCCCAGACTTGTACTTTCCGTGTGCCGAAAGGTCCACCTTGCCTGATGAAAAGGCTCAAGACGTTGAATTTATCCAGCCTCTCTTCGTCCACCAACGGCTCACCAGCAGCGTTTGGGACCTCGGCCAACTTCTTCCAGTCATTGTATGCTCCGGCCGCTGTCGCGGCCCATATTTGTACGGTCATCTTCGGTTGATCTGGTAGGATGGCGAAAACTTTGTCGCCTGCGGCAGCGATTTTACCTCGATAGGCAAGATATGGCGGCGTTGATAGACCAGGCGTCTTGATGGCGGTCTTGGAAAATTTGCCTTCTGGAGTCCGGAGATAATGGTAGAATTGCGCTGTGCCTGTCGAATTGTCGCGCATAAGGGCATGGAATCGGCCTTTCTGGTCAGCGCACTGGGCTTCTTGGTTGATGATCTGGCTGTTTTGTGGGATCGAATACACCTTAATGCCAGCGGTCGATGGCGTAATCGGCTTTGCTACAGTTTGACCATTAGTCTGTTTCCAACTCTTGCCATCATCCTCCGACAAGGCGAAGTAGAAGTCGTGGTTTGTCGAGGGAGTAGGTGTCTCCCTCACAGTCCAGGAGACGAAAAGCTTTCCACCCTGATTGCTAATGCCGTTGATGTACGCATTGTTGTCTTGACCTTGGAGGTATTTGCCGACCGCAGTCCACTGACCGGTGGAAGCAGAGTACCGATGTATGTACGAGTCACCGGCGCCAGATTGACCAATACGAAATTCCATTAGAAGATCGCCGTTATCGATGCGTTCAAATCGAGGGTATGTGAGCGGCGTCCATGGTCCGGTTGAGCCAGGCAGACTGTGCTGGACAGTTCCAAAGGCGCTGGCTGTCCACTGTTCGGGGATCGTCTTAGCGATGCCTGTGTTACTCGCACGATAGTTGAGAGGCACGTCGTGATGATCGAAGCTCAGATGAATCTTGCCATCTCCACTGATGCCCATACTGATAGTGTTGTGTTCGTCGAGAGTGGTTTGCACATAGTCTGTGAATGCAAAGTACTGCCAATCACCCAAAGAAGGGTTGATTTTGCGCCGACCAAGGTTGACATGATGTTTGCCGTATCCCGAAGCTGTCTTGTAGAATGCGACGTATTGGTAGTCGCCAAAGGTGGTCAAGGCGTGTTGTTGGAAAGCAAGGCCATTGAGACGGACTGAACCCTCCACATCATTCGTGATGTTCCAGTTCTTGGTCGAAGTGATGGAGATCGCAGAAGAAAGCGTGACGCAGCACGCGAGTAACGAAGAGAAAAGTCTCATGATTCTTGGCTGAGCTCTAAAACAAAGGCTATGCTCCAATTAAATACATGCCGGCTACTACATAATGAGAGCCGACAATCAAAGACGCGGATGAAATCTCCTTAGTGTCCATTTCTGAACCGTGTGACCACTTCGTGTCCCCTGAATTCTGGCTGGTTGATGGTATCCAGACTTGGTCGCCTGTGGAAGGTAATTCTTGCGGGTTGCATGGACCTGCATCGGCATTTCGGGCTATTGTCCCATGATGCGGGGAAGCTGGGGAGATGGCATGGTGTCACACGGTGCCGGAACATGATTGACGCGAAACACTCATCAGAGATATAGCACCGCAAACAGGGAAAAGAACGAACAGATGCTTTGCAGTCTACATTACCTAGGTAGTCTCGGATTGAGAATTGAGATTACTCCAGCGCAAAGTAGACTTCCGGACCAGGAGGCAGGTATTCATCCTTTTCCCCAAACGTAGTGACAGTCTTTTTCAATACCATTGATGGGAAGCCTGAATCCAATTGGAGCCTCGGAGCCTTTTGTCGCGGCAGGGATGTTGGCTAAGCAGTCACCTGGTAGTTGGGTGCGCTGCACCGAGAATTGCAGTGACAGTTGTGTGTAACCAAAGTCACAGAATGTATGTGACATTCGAGCGAGGTAAAAGTTTGTCTTCTTCCCACGCCTGCAGGTGCCACTGACGTGCGGCATGTTCCGCGACGCGTCCGATCGAATGCAAGCTCGTGTCGAAACCATTCCGAGCAGTCGGCACCCTTCGCGTGTCGCACCTCTCCAGCCACCTTCCAAGCCCTCATCACCAACGCGAAGCCCGTGAGAAGCACCACCGTGCACCATCAAGAGCCGCAGAAATACCGTTCTTATGCGATAACGGCGCACTACACGCCTATCTCCGAGGAAAACGACACCAGAAACGGCAGGAGCAACTGCAGCCAAGGTCGATTCTCCTTGGCAAAGTACTCCAACCAGCGAAAAAGCGTCTTGACTGACGTAGCGCTATCACCCAAAGATGGGGGAGAGCCATACAAAGAGAGTGGTCATGCACAAATTGGTGCTCTGCGCGCATTTGACAGCCTCAGCTGAGACCGGACGAAGATGCGTACACCTTCAATTGCGCTCTTCGCAGCGTCTGCGCTTGCGCAGTCTCAATACGGCGAGAACCATGTCAATGTAAACCTTGACTCGCAGCTTGTGGAGCAGACAGCTTTCCCGTCGCCAGATGTGACCCTTCTGAGTCCCGCGTTCCTGCCAAACGCCTCGTTTGATCCGGGTTGGTCAGAGGGAACTGAAGGCGCGACATCGCAATACAAATTAGGTACGTGAATAATGAAGGAGACATTTCATCATAGAGCGGGTAGCCTAACACTGAACAGAGGAATTCATCAGCAAGCTTGCAGCGAAGAATCCTTCATGGATGACCTACGACGTGGCTGACTTCCTGAGCGAAGAAGGCAAGACTTTCCCGTACGCCCACCTCTCTACCTCCGTATCGAACACATCCTCTGGGTACACTACCTCTGGTAAATTGCGAGTATGGATTCAAGGATCAGTTCACGGGAACGAACCCGCTGGCGACGAAGCCACTCTGGCTCTTCTCGGTGCGATGGATGCCGACCCGACGTGGGCCGCCAGCTTCCTTGAGAAGATGGACATTATTGTGCTGCCGCGTTACAATCCAGACGGGAATGCCTACTTCCAGCGCACCTTGGCTACAAACTTCGACCCAAACCGCGACCACACCAAGCTTGCTCGACAGCAGACTCGCGACATCAAGCAATGGTTCAGCAGCTTCTCACCACACATCGCTATTGACATGCATGAGTATGGGGCTGGAACGCGATACTCTGGCAACTACAGTAACGCGGCCGATGGGATGTACAGCGCAGCAAAGAACCTCAACATCCATCCATCCATTCGCACGCTCGCCGAGACCGTCTTTGCGCCCGCAATCAACGCGTCTCTCCTCTCCCGAGGTCTGCGCGGAGAGCCATACGTGACGGCGTCGCGGACGAACCCGACTCCACGCTTGGACGAGGCGGGAACTGATGCAAAGATCGGCCGCAACGCCATGGGACTCACACAATGCGTTACGTTTCTCTTTGAGACGCGAGGTATCGGCATCGCAAGCCAGGAGTTCAAACGCCGAACTGTCGCTGGCTTGCAGATGATCCTCGGTGTGCTTGAGACTGCTCGAGATGAAGCTGCGGACGTGAAGAAGACAATCGAGGGTGCTATTGCAGAGGTTGTCGAGAGCAAAGAGGAGATAGTCATCACAGACTTCACAACCTACTCGAACCGCACCTATACTATGGTTGATCGTCGGACCGGCGAGGTGGTTCAACTCCCAATCGAATTTTCCAGCACCACGCCCGCAACTGCCAACATGACTCGCGCTCGGCCCGAAGGGTACATAATCCCCCGCGCGTGGGCTGACCTTGCCGAGCGTCTCAGGGTCTCAGGACTGGAGATCGAAACTATGCCCGAGGTTTTCCATGGAGAGGTCGAGGCATACAACATTACCTCTTCTAGCCTCGGCTCGTCATACTATGAAGGCGCCATCTTGAACACTGTTACTACGGAAACACTCGTTCAAGATGTCACGCTGCCTGCTGGCAGCTTCTTCGTAAGCAGTGCACAAAAGAACGCAGGAGTAGCTTTTGTCGCGCTAGAGCCTGAGAACATCGACTCATATGTCTCATTTGGCATTGTTCCTATGGAGGTCGGCGACGTCTATCCGGTCTTCCGTCAGATGTAGATGAGACGTAATCTTTTCCTTATCCGATATTATTAGTAGCCAGACGTACGGATCAATGAGATTTGAGGGTTACAGATCAGCCATGGATTGCGGAAAGCGAAATGTCGCTCTGTTACGTTTGATCCCAGGGGTTCAGATGGCCCGTGCACTTATCATATATGACAACCCCATTTGATTTCACTCTGGTCTATCTTCCAATTTCTCTGAATGCGTCATGGCGTCATTCACATCAACGTACCAGCGCGCTGACTACCCGGAATCAGAACGCGTATTCTATGGTTCCGAGGCTGCGTTTGATGCAAAGAAGCTCACTGCTGGCGTTCGATGCGTCGAATTTGGTCCGCAGTTTTACGTGGAACGGTAAGAACACTAGATGTATTGTAAATGAGTACAGAAACCCATCATGTTCACAGGAAACATATCCAAGCTTTGAAGCAGTATACCAGGTCTCGAGGTGCTGCAGATGGATTGCAGTGGCTGGGACTTAACCAACGCCGATGTCAAGGTTATTGCATCGCGCAATCCGCACCTTAGAGAAGTCCTTCTACACAGGGCATTAGAAATCACCGATAAAGGCATCGTTCATATTCTTAAGAACTGCCCTTCGATCTCCATAATAAAGGTCACCGGACCCGAAATCGCGACTGGACTTGTAACTGGAAAGTTCGCTGGGTTTCTCAACCAGCCAGCCATAGTCGAATCACGCACAAACCTCGAAGCCATTTATCTTTATGACCAGGGAACGGATGAGTCGATAATCAAAGGTATCTCCAAGAAATGGCGTAATCTCCTCATCTCCACCGGAATCACTATGGCATGCGGTGATGTATGGTCGTTCCATTGGCTTGGAGGCAAGCGTTTAAAAGAGGGGGAAGAAAGTACTCTTGGGGATATGGGATATCGGTTGCCAAAAGTAGATGAAGACTTTAAAATCCATCCGTGGAACGTCAGCTTTTCGCGCCAAGAGCCCTCGAGATCCGTCCAGGCCGGTGCTAGCACGTCTGACATACCAGAAGGAGGCAATTCCGACAAGAGTGGAGCGGGGAGTGACGGTGAGGAAGACGAAAACGGCAGCGAAGACGATGACGAAGACGACGACGACGACGACAGCAGAGCCTGGGCATCCGACGACAGTGATGATACTCTAGGTTACGATCCTGAGGAGGAGGCATACTTCCATGATATCTACACCGGTCGTCGGTCTGTGCCAGTGTACGAACCGTACGACGCCGCTGAAGTCCCATTCTCAAAGACGCTGTACTATCATTCGAAGGAAGCCTGGGGAAGGCTATGGCCTGAGGACGTTAAGCGTACTAGCATCCAAAGTATACATTTCACTGATGAATTCTGCGTTACTGAGTAAGCTCTGCCAGATCTTCCGAACTGACACCCGATGTGCTAACAGTATCCTTTGGTAAGCATATCAAAGCTATTGCAACCACCCCTCCCCAATTTCGCAAATCCCTGCACACCATTGGTTGCGAGTACGGGCGCGTCTCCGACGCAGCTGTTGCCAACCTCACGCGCGCCGTCCCACATCTCAAGGACATCGATTTCTACGATACGCATACCCTCACCGACAAGGCCATTATTTCCATCGTCAGAAACTGCCCCGGCATCGAGCGCATAGCTATAGCCGGTAGTGACAGGACACCTGGAAAAGTTAAATGTCGCGGTCGTCTGGTAGATGTCATGGAGGATCTGACACTTGCCAAGAAAATGCGACATTTGGAACTATGGAATCAAATGCTCTTCATCAGAGGCGTTGAGAGAATTTCGAAAGCGAGGCCGAAATTGGCGATCGTGGACGGTGTGACTGTGGGCGATAGTATGGCGACCCGGGTAGTTGCTGCACAGGCAAGTGGTAGGTATATGCATGTATATCTTGGTGGACATCTGGACTTTGATCTGGATTATATATGTAAAGTGGTAGATTATGTGTGGTAGACGGCTAGCTGGACCACCCCATTCAATGGAAAGACTGAACTCCTGTCAGAAGTGGATAACCTAGAAGTCTATAATGCCTTGAGATTTAGTCAAATGCGTTCATCGAACCGATGTAGGCTGCAGAGCACCTGTTCAATGTCTTCATCATATGAGGTAAGACTGAGGTTTCGAAGTCTTCATAAGGTAAACTCAAACAAGCCACTCCTTCCACCACGTCACCGCCCTATCCTTGGCCTTGATCATAGCCTCCCTTTCTCCCGGAACTTCCTCGTCGCCCTTGGTAAAACAGCCATGGTGAGCATCTGGGAAATGTACCCACTCAACCGCTTGGTTCTTCTTCTCCAAGACTAGCTTCTTGAACGCGTACAATCTCATCTCCTCGGGGAACATACTATCATGTTCCGGCTGCAAGAACATGATCGGTACATCGACACCATCGAAATCCGCCTCGGTGAGCAATGACGGATGGGCGCAGATGACACAGTCGACCAACTTCTCAGTCGCGAGACGGAGAATGGCCCAGCCGCCCCAGCAGTAGCCCACTGCACCAATCTTCTTAAAGCCGTTGGCACGGAGTTCTTTAGCGCATGCGAAGATTTCTGGTTCGCGGACCTCACGACTATTGCGCTTCTTGAAACCTTCGACATCCAGTTTGTCGAATTTGCCTGCTTTGAGGAGGCCTACATCGAGTACTTCTCCGCCGAAGAAGTCAGGTATATAGACTGTGACGTTTGCCTAGAGTGCATAGCGTTAGGGTCAGTACAATGTTCTGAGGATGGGGATCTTTCGCGATATTTTTGAGATGACCCCGGACGCACCTCTTTGGCAAAGTGATCGGCTAGGAGACGAGTATTTCCGAACCTCCAGCCCAAGGCATCGTGGGCGATGAGGACGGCTGCGTTGGGGTTGGAGCCAGTAACGTAGGTTGGGTTGCCCGCGATTGTCGCCTCGTGGCCCCTTGGTGTACCGTTCCAGTCGAATGATTTGAGGCAGCACGGTTCGAAACCTCTTGGTGATGTCATGGTGTATGCTAGTTGTGTATTGAACGCTGACGGAGAAGAGGGGAAACGTGTGACGAGACTGAAGTTGCTTGACTTGGCGGGCTAGAGTTGATTCGCCCATGATGTCTACTCTTATATTCTGTCCATGCCTAAGGCGTCCCGTCAATCTGAGACTTCCTGACACGTCAATCTACGAAAAAGCTGAACACCCTGGAGCCTCCGTTGACGTAAGGTTACCCACTTTGTTTGTTTCTATCTCAATGTAGTCTGCTGACCTGTTCGGCTTGGCCTTGTACGAGGTGTGGGTATGCATTTCCAATGTCAACATCGCTAAGGTGATGGACTTATCGCCAGGATGAGGACGGAGTTATCGCTGGCTGGGCGCGAATCAACCTCGGTGGTATTCCGGAGCGGAAGGTGATCTCGCTGCGATGCCGATACTGCGCTAACGGACGAACATCAAGGCGCGCGAGAACTGGTCTGATTAGTCAACGAGGTTGTGGGAGCTCGCGGTGTTCGGAGTTAAGCATGCTATTTACCGACGATGAATTGAACGGCAGTGACTATTCTCGTTACTGTAGGAGTACAGATGCTTGTTGTATCAAGAATGGAACGCGGGGGTCGTTTGCGTACATCGACGCAGAGAGTCGTGCATCATGAACGTGAAAGAGAGTTAAGGAAACGCCTGTTGAAAGGCCTATGCGTCTAGTGATGCAACACAACAGCCCGCCCACCTTATGAGAGTGATGAACTTCTCACCCAAACGCCGATCCCATATAACGCCAATGCAGAGAGTCGTGCAAAGATAGCACATGATGCGACGAGTCAGGCCGCCTGACACCCCAACTAGATGCCGAAGCTTTTCTGACCCAGTATCATTTCTACCGCCTGTTGATGAGATTCAGGAATTCCTGGCGGGTCTTGTCTCTTGATCGCATGCATCCGAGCATGCAGCTTGTAGTTGTTGTAGCGCCTGTCTTCTGCACGCCGCGCATGACCATGCACAAGTGACTTGATTCGACTACCACAGCGACACCTTGTGGCTGTAGCATCTCAGAAAGGGCGAGCGCAACTTGTTTGGTGAGGCGCTCTTGGACCTGTAAGCGGCGAGCAAACATTTCAGCGATGCGAGCGAGTTTGGAGAGGCCGATGACGCGACGGTTTGGAATGTAGCCGATATGCATCTACAGAGAGGTCAGTAAACATTCCTTAGGGCAGGTACAACAGGACAAAGGACTTACCTTGCCCATGAAGGGGACCAGATGGTGCTCGCAGAGGGAGAAGATCTCGATATCTCTCACAATGACGAGCTCATCGTGGTCCTCGTGGAAGACAGCACCGTTGACGATGTCGCGCAAGTTCTCTTCATAGCCCTTGGTGAAGAAGAGTAAGGCCTTGGCATAGCGCTCGGGTGTGTCCAACAGTCCCTCGCGGTCTGGATCTTCGCCCAGACACTCAAGCATCGTTCGGACAGCACCAGACAGCTTCTTCAGATTGGCTTCCTTCTCCTCCTCGGTCGCCTCCTTCCTCTCCCGCGTGCCCTTGCTGGGCCAGCTAAGCCCATCGAAGTCGATGGTGGGATGCTGTGTGTATGGGCTATGGGCGCGACTGGTCGCAAGTGGTGTTTGGGCAACGGCGCCCTCGTAAGGGTCTTCGGCGTCTACCTGGCCGTTCGCCATGACATGTCGGTTGTCAGTGTGCATGTTCGCGACCGAAGCCTTCGTGGGGAAATAGCTAGTCGGCCCGTCAAAGTTTACTGGCTGGCGCCCTCGGTTGGAAGTCTCTATAGCATGGAAGAGGTGCTCGCGCTCTTTCCTGTCGCGCGCCTCGGTGGTGAGCCTGAGGGGTGATCCGCCGTTCATCATGTGGGAGGGAACCGCGGATTTGGGTTTGGGGGTGTCGGCGTCCATAATCGCGGGGAATTCGTCGGGACTTTTTTAGTGGGGAAGGGACTTTTCAGACTGAGGAAGCAGCAAACTAGAGATGAGAGGATGACACAATGCCCAGGGAAACATGTTTGGCCTGGCGCATGCTTTCCGCAGGAGAATAGTTCGGAGCCCGGTCAGTATGACTACAAGGGAATAACTTATTCCTGCGCCGTCGAATGCGGATTAGCGTTCCAATCTAGCGATGACGCCACACCTCGTCGCGCTCTGACCAGGTGGGCACGTGACAAGCGGGCAGCCGACCAGCAGGAGAGCTGCGACACTACCACGACCCTTCGCTTCCCGACGCTTCATCATCAACACACGCCGCCCCGACCACGCATGGCATCGACCATACCACCAGCGCTCGGCTCGACATTCACGATTTCTAGCGATGATGCGAACGGGTGACAGACCGCCGTGACGGGGCCCGAGGGCTTTCCTTCGGTCCCCGCAGCTTCACCGTAGCAGAACAGCAAACGGCGCTTCCGCTTCAGCGCCGCCCATCTCCCTGCTCGACCCACTGCGCATATCATAGCGTGGCATTACATGATGATGCGATGTGCATCGAGGGAGGATTGGTCATCTACTGGCGATGACAGAGAAGGGCAAAGGGTCACCAAGTTACCACGGCCTTGCTTGGGCGTCGTTCTACCGCCCTCGCGCAGTCGCGTACTAATCACGCATCGTGCACTATTCTTAACATATACTGTGGCTACTCCGCGGTGGGCAAAGGCAGTGTCTACTCTACTTGTCGTTACAACTCCCAGTTCCCAGCCCCGGCCAGGGCTACAATCACCATACGACTGCCGCTCAATTGCGACATGCTCCGGGCGCTGTCGAGAGTATGTCCAGATTCATATGGCTACTCGTCTTTGGTGACCGTTCCAGGACAGCAAGTGAGCCTGGCTCACATATTGTGGCTCTTTTGTCTGGCGCCGTGCCATACCTTGCATCCAGGTCTGGTAGCTCTAGGCTATCGGGTGCATCGACCGCGCCCCCAGCATGGGAACTACACCATCTTCCCTCCCTTGCGGAGCGCGAGCTTTCGCATGCCGATCGTGGTAACGTGAAAAGCCTAACGTCAAGATGATCGCGGCGAGCTCAATTAAACTACAAAAGGATCGCATCACCTTTCTGGATCGGCCCAACCCCCGATAATGGGATATCTCGACTTATTGGTGTTTAAAGATATCGCCGTGCCCGAGTTGCCATGGCCTGATATTGAGGATTACATCTCTTCAACTTCGGTCGTCAGGGGTTGTCTTTAGTAGGGTGGCGGGGTCTTGCTTCGCATGCGTTATGTAGATGTCGTGAAGCCATATGGCACACCTGGTGGACTGCAACATGATCTCCAAAATCTGAAGATGCGGAAGGGTCAAGCCGAGATGAAATCTGGGAGCAGGCTGGAGTCTTGGGCGCCAGGGAGGGGTTTCCATGCACACTCGATGAGGGCGACTTGTCACGGGGCTTGGCGTTGTCGATAGCGGCAGGCGAAAGACCGACGAGCGAGAAGGCGCTGCATGCGCAGCGTCTGCGGCCACGACAGCAACATCGAAAGCGCATCAACGGCAGCGCATTGAGGAGTGTGTTACAGTCGTAGCCGATTCTCTTGTTGTTTTTCGCTTTCATTACTACTGCTTCGTAAGGCTGAGAGCAGGGTGCCGGACTTCCTTGTTGTTCGGTTAGGCCGTGGCACTTTGACCCGCGGACCTCTTGATGCTGCAACCTTGCGCCTTCTGATGCCCTTCCTGCCTCTATGGCTGCCCTGCGACGGGCTCAGGATATAGACCAGTGGAGACCAGAGGACTCATCTAGTAGGGACAGAGAGCGATCTAGGGACCGGTCACGGGAGAGGAACAACGAGGGCAGAACATCGTCACCAGTGCCACGAGCTGCCAGAGATTCTCCCAGACACCGCGCACACGACACCCACACGCATTCATCGGCCAGACACGCACGGGGACGTTCACGCGAAAGAAGTTTGAGCAGAGAGCGCGCGCGTCGGCGCAGTCGCAGCATCTCTGGGGAGGACCGCCATCGAGCTTCGAAGAGGGAAGCCAGCGCAGACAGGGTTGCCCACTCGCATCGGCATCACCACCACCATCGCGACACAACTCCATCGTCGAAACGCCACCACCCGCGTTCTCCATCTCCACGAGGCTCGTCCAAGCGCGTGAAACGGCAGGGCAGTCGCAGCCCAATACGCTCTGCATCGAGGCCACGCCGTGCACTTTCGCCGGACCGGCCTGCTACGAGGGCATACTCCCCACGAGCTCAGCGTTCCGACCGCGATCGACCGCCTCGACGCACCACGCCCGACACGTATTTCCCGTCCACCTCGACTCGCCGCCGCTCGCCCTCTGCCGATACACACTACAGACCTGTGGCTCATCGTGCACGGAAAAGATCAGTTTCACTCGACAGGAGATCTAGGCGTGGAACACCGCCTCGGAGACTGTCGCCTAGGAGAACTGATCGAAGACCCATTTCACCCTTCGACAACCGCGGTGAACGGTCCTACAAGCCCTATAATACACGCGACAGGGCAAGGAGTCGCAGTCGAGACTCCAGACGTGCTCGATCTCCCTCTCGTCCGCCCCGGAGGCGATCTCCAGGCCCAGTTCGCAGAAATTCGCCGCCCCATACTCACCGAGCCAGATTATCACCGCGCAGAAGTCGTTCGCCCCGCCCGCCCATTCGACGCCGTCCATCCCGCTCGCCCTCTCTTACATCGAGGCCGCGTCAACGCCGGGATAAAGGAACAGACAGGGTCGCCTCACGTCGAGGCTCGCCCGCGCCGGGATCAGGTTACAACTCTGACACGTCCAAAAGTCGGGAAAACCACGGCAAGATGAGGGGAGCGTATCACTATCAGGGACGTGGTGGCTTCCAGCAATCCCCACCGTACCCTGCACAAAATCAATATTCACCTCAAAATCAATCGCCCTATCATGGCGGCGGTCGAGGCGGTTGGAACGGTCCACCGTATCCCAATCAAGGGTGAGTTTCCATCCCATCGGCCTTCGGTCATCCACATGCTGACATCATCAGGTCTCCCACACATGGCTATACCCCAAATCAATCTCCTTACCA